TGTGGTATTTTTATGTCGCAAAATTCTATGGAAATTGCAAATTTTTAAATGTCAACCACAGACTGCTTTACCATAATTAGGACAAGCTGTCATCTGGCAGTTGCATGTGGAGCATTAAATTCTCGTGTTCTTGTGGTTTTGTTTGAAAGTTGCAATGTATTTTTAGATTTTTTGAAGCATTGTCATATTGGCTACTGATTTTGTTCAGATTCATGTGGTGGTCAAGCTTCTCTTTCTCTCATTAGTATTCCTTCTTATAAGAAAAAACCTTTCATTTCAGTGACTTGTGTTGATCGGGAATTTTTCTTATTATTTGATTGAATTTAAAAATGTTTAAAATAATTTTTTTCAGAAAAACTGAATTTCATGTTCAAAGAATTCTTCTTTATCTCATATAGCACAGCAGAAGTCAGTATTACGTCATGAGCAAAATAAACATTTTCTCAATTGCAAAATGTCAAAATTTAAATTTTTATGCTTTTGTTTTTTTTTATTTGTATTTTTTTGGAGAATGTGACATCGAAAATAAGAATTTTAAGTTTATTATTATTGTTGCGAACAATTTTTATCTAATTTTTTGCGACTGACATGTGTCGGCTTTGTTGGAAAAACGTAAGCACTAATACATCTACAGTAGCTTCTTATACTATTTATTTTATCGAGGTAAAAAAATTCCATTTATTTGCGAATTTTTTAATTTTTCTTTTTTCGTGAATTTATTTTTGGAGAGGAAATGGAAATGTGCTTAAAAAAATCAATTAATGGGTAGCTCTAACGATCTTGTGAATTAATCGAACCCATGTTGGTGATTGGTTATTTAGATAAGATTAAAATTAGCGGATTTTTGTATTTAATGTGGAACAACTGATAAATGATGGCAATCGATGCAAATATTAGCTATTAGACCATCCAGTCCTTAGATTTGGAAACAGAATAAATTTTGTTAAGTTTGGACGTTATTTCTGAGCTTCCTTATTTTCAGGTTAAATTCAAGAACAATTACAGCAGACACAAGAAATATGATCGGATTAAGTTGGTTATAGTTGAACATTTTACAAATTTGTTCTTCGATTTTCAAAATAAACTTTTGAGTCTGCATTAAATTAGTCTTTTCAGCAGTCATTTATAGCCAAATTTGCACATGTTGAATGACATTTAAAAATTTATATTTTATGCGTAACATTCTATTTTTGCTAACTTAATTACTTAATATTGATGATCATCATAAATCTAGAGTGTCTTTTTCAATCGATAATAAATGTATCAAGTTATCAGCGCACAATCTTTTTTTGAGTCATAAAACTGTTAAAAAGAACATTTGAAAGACAAGAAATTCCTGTGCAAAAAAACTAGCTTGTAGGTGCCTATAAATAAAATTCAGCCAGATAGAAAGAACTTTAGGAGTAGGCGAGCATTTTTGATTCATAAAATTTATCATTGTTATATTTTTATAAGACTGAATTGTTATTCTTTCGATAGCAGCAGGGGCGTAGCTAGGGGGGGGGGGGGGCATAGAACTACGAAAATCTGATAATTGTTTTATTAAGTATTTACAGAGAAGAACCAGTTAATGTAGAGGAAGTGATGAAAGAAATGTCAAAATCAGCACGAAAAATTTAATGTATGAATAATAAATTAAATATTTAAACTTATGAAGAATGAATATAGATTTAAGGATACAAAATAAATGTTTTTTAATTTTCGAAAATGCCCCCCCCCCCCCCCCCCTTAAAGTTTTCTGGCTACGCCCCTGGATAGCAGTGAGCAGTGTGAAGTGCAATAAATGCTGCTTAAAAATTGAGTTTCTGATAATTTCAAGATTGAGTTGAGTAATAAGGTTTATTAATTTGGTGTGATTTTTTTTTCAATTGAAAAGATTTCATTTTTTTCAGTAGTCTGGTAATTAAAAATGTGTGATAAGAAATTTTTTGTCGGTTTTGCTAGCAATAACAATAATTTCGTAGTTTATATGGAGTTTTATGTTCTGTTTTATAGACTATCGAATTTTTGAATTTAACATTCTAGAGCAAGTCCGATAATAATTATTATATTTTTTATTCAGTACTCATAATATTGGTCAAATCTTTTTATTAGAAGAATCAAAATCACATTCTGATTAAATTGCCTTGAACTTTTTTTTAAGTCTTCAAGTCTAACAATTTCAATGGAATTTATCGACAACATCATAATCTTCTAATTATTTCTTCAAATATTCTTTCGGCAATCAAATAAAAATTAATATTTTATAGTTCAACACACAAGTATATATTAACAATTTGCAAAATTCAAGGCTAAAGAGATTCCAAAATTCAAGTAGTTTTAAACTTATAAAGCTGATATCGCGCATGTTTCGAGCCTTATCTTTTTTGATGAAGAATTATTATTTCAAATGTATGTAAAAAGATTCTTTTCTGTGAAACCATTGGGAGGGTAAGCAAATTTTTATTTGCATGATTAACATCCTGCATACCATTTTAATAGTATTTCAACACTTTTCAAAAATTGACAATTTTGATACCTTTAGATAAAAAGCTTTATATTCATTTATAGCTGAAATTTATGGAATAATTGATCAATGTTTAGAACCAGTTGCTTCCGAATTTAAATTGTTAAAATTGTGTAATAATGTCAGGAAGTCGGAAATAATAATTGATATCATAAAACTGTTCATTGAAATTCTGTCATGATAAGGTAGAAATTATATAATTGGTTGTAATTTTTGACTTATGGTTGTAGTGTTTACTGGAACTCTGTCTTTTATCATTGGAACTCAATATTTAAGATTCAAACAAGCCAAATTTCTAAAGCTACAAAAATAGATTTTCCCACAACATTTTGGGAATTTTATCATCACTTTAATAAATTCAGCTCTAATAAACCTAATAGAAAACATCTCAAAATTTTGCCAATAACTCAACTTTTATGTTACTAGAATAAATGACAGATCGTTTTATGATTATAGCCTTGGTTAGAGAAATTAACAAATCAATAAAATAGCTCGTACGTGGCTATAAATTCTCAAATATTTTTGATTTTCAAAAATAAAATTTTCATAGCCCTAAATTACGCAGATAGCTGATCATAGACATACTAAAAAATAAAACAATTTTCGCTACCGATTAATTTATAATAGTCAATATAAATTGCCATCTCTCATCAAAGTCAATAAAGAAGAAATGAAAATTGTCATGAAATATTTGATTTATGATTAATTGAAGCCCTTTTATCATTAATTATTATTAGTCTTATCAGTAGCATTGAGAAATATCTGCTTCTTTTCCTTCAATAAGTATTTATTGGGGAGTTTTTGTCAAAAAATTGTTTGATAAAATGTATTTGTGAATGACTTGGTTGTTAACTGGATTAAATAGGAATTTAATTACAATTATTTGAGGATTTTTTACATTGAAGCTTAAAATTTTAAATCAGAATTAAACTAAAGTGGCTCGTATGTTGAAATGCTTTTTTTTGGTCCCTAAAAGTGCACTGTTTACTAGTTCTTCACTAAATAGGACAAAACTTAGCTTATTTAAGTTTAGATTCCTTTTTCTAATACTCAACTCTAGTTTTTAAAACAAAATTATTTAAATTCTTGAATTTTTCATTTAAATCACTACAAAAGCTTGTAATTATTGTTCAAAAAATGCGCATCTGAATGCTGTATTTACAAAGATATAGTTTCTTCTTCCATTAAAAAAATGAATGTATTGTGTACATTAATAACTCTTAGAGAGACATTCCTATTGTATTTACTCACAGACTACTATACAACTAAGGTTGATAAGATAGGTTTCTTCTATTTTTATCTGCTTATCAAAAATTGTAAAAAAAAATTAATTTGTGTGAATACTCTCTAATATGCCTTATATAAGGATCAAAAACTAATCACTCTACATAGAAAATCACGAAATCACGTGTGAACATTTTGATCGTTTTAACTAAAATGTATAACATATACACAGTCACAGAGCGATTAACCCATCAAATGTCATGAAATTTAATTCTCTATGGTCGAGAAAAGAAATTTATATAATCGTGCAGTGGGTAAAGAATCTGTTAAAAGAATATTTTTCTCTCACTAATTCGTTGGTGGAAACAATAAATTTATTTGCCGTCACTCGTCTAAACAATATCATGTATTTCTCGTGTAATAATGCATAGCGACACGCCGCTGACACGCGTTTGAATTGCTTCGCATTTAGTTCACTTTCAATTTTATTTTTATAAAGTCAAGCATTTCTATAAAAATGACCAGGTTGTTGTGGCATATTTTGTAGGAAAATTAACTAGGATAATTTGCGAAATTTGTCAAAATGTCAATCAATTTATAGTTTAATTTTTTCTTCATGAAAAAGATGTCAAAGATTTATTTTGGGAGTTTTGCTAAGAATTTTTATATTTTCTACTGTAAGAATTGCGAAAATATCATCTAAAAGCCGTCTTCTACATGCAACAAGAATGAAAAAAATGCTGCGTAATTTTCTAAAGTTAAATAAGCTGATAAAAGTATTAAGTCACACATCAAGAGTCAAAAATAAATTTTTTTCTCATAATTCGTAAAGATTTTTTTTTTGAATCTACAAAGTCAGCAAAGTTATAAACGTTTTTTAAATCCACAGAGGCTAGAGAAATAAAAAATTCAACCACAATTTTGAAAGGTGATCAAATAAATTTGAAAGAACTTTTATTCCAAAATTAACTTGCATTATTTCTCTCTATCTTACTAAGGTCAACCATAATATTTGAATTTATTACCCCGTGGCAAATTTCGCACAAAAATTCGTTTAAAATCAACAACAAAAAAAAAAGATATAAAATCGACGTATTTTTAGGAAAAATAAAAATTATCAATAAAATAAATCGTCAGCAAAATAAATAATTTACCACTTGTTGCAGAAAAAGAAGTAAATTTGTTTTTCGCATCGTAATTTTTTTTTGCGCACAGTGACGAAAATTGAAAAATAAATTATTAGTATTAAAAAAATAAAAATTTTCCTTACGTTATCACAAAAATGAAGTTAAAAATATTCAGTGAAATTAAGTTTTATTTTATTTTTTCTTGATAACACTTTTTTTGCACCAACAAAAGTTTGTGTTTCTTTCCAATTACCAGAAAAAGTCAAACTTTTTTTCACAAACACTTTTTTTCATCCACTTCACTATTAAGAAATATTCGAGAGCAACTTGTTTGCACGATCGATCGCTAGCGAATTTGAAACAAAACTGAAGAAGTCTGAAAATAAACTAAATTCACAAAACTCTTATTCTATGTACGACTGTTTTTTTCTTCTTTCTTTCCTCGCTTTGAGAGCAAGAAGCGACTTTATTGTGACTCACAACAAACTGTGTTGTATTTTTTTCGTCTGTGTGTTTTTTCCCTCAATATAAAGTTTTGGTTAACGGAAATTTAAAATTTTTCTCTCACATACTTAGCCTGACATCTAGTGGTAAGCAGACGACTTTTTTTTTATGAAACAGAAATTGAGTAGATAACGTTAAGCATTATTCTCAATGAAACAAATTCTATTGATTAATAAAATAAATGACTTGAGTTGGAATTGTTGCACAATCCTTACAATTCTTTTGGAGTGACTGACCCTAGGGTTGCACAGTGGTAAGAATTTAATAAATTACTTCGTTTAGTTTCTATTAACCACTTAGGGGCTGTTCACTTATTACGTAACGCGAAAAAATGACTTTTTAGACCCCCCCCCCCCCCCCCCTCGTAACAAAATTTTGTATGAAAAAAAAATTTCCTTGTTTGAACCGTAACAAAATCTTAGACCCCCTCCCCCCCTAAAAGCGTTACGTAATAAGTGAATGGCCCCTTATCAGATTTTAGTATTTTAAATTATATCAGGTAGAATGTCTAGCAGGATTTAAACGTAGCCAAGAAGAATTCAGTGTTTTTTCGAAATCAATTTTGCATTACGATATATTTTATTGGAAAAGAATTGCTATCGAATTTTAAATGCCGAAACCACAACCAAAATAAAAATAAAGGATCAACCTGGTCTAATCATTAAAGACACCTGTGAAAACGAAAATGTGGAAATTGCTCACAAAAGCTGATCATCATCTGAAATTAATGCTGTCATTAATAATAAAACAAATGAAAGTAATGCTAGCCATTTAGCAATGGAAACGTAAGATGACGAGTATTAAGAAGAAAATAAAAGCAGTAAAGAATTATTTCAATCAATCAAAATGAAACGTGATTAACATGATAATGAATTTAATGGAAATGTGGGAAAAATTCAACGAAAACTTTTGTGAATATTAGACTTTAGCTAGACTTTGATTATGAAACACAAGAGTGACATTGAAATTTTGAAACTATCACAAAATAATCAAGTATTATACATCTTAATATTCAAAAGATTTATGTGCAGGATAAAGACAAAGGAGACAAAGAACTTCACAAACTTGATATAGAAAAGCATTCAAAAGCTTTTGTGCAAGGATATAACCATTCAATCTCGGTCAATATAATTATTATTCTCTGACTGAGAGCTTTGAATTAAGTCTACATGCCTGAATTTATTACCTATTAATGATTTTCTTAAATTTTCTTTTTAAACTTATTAAATTCTTTTTTTTTTAATTTTTTTGTTTTTGTAATCTTTACTTGAAACAATTACTTTTAGCTTCGTCACAAAACTACAATTGATTTAAAACTTATTCAGGTTAACATCAAAATTATTTCATAGCTGTTCCGCCTTATAATATGTATTGAATGAAAGGATTATTATTATTATTATTATTAAGGATATAAGTCCTAGACAAGCATATAAAGTACATAATAAAGCTATAGTTTTCAAACGTTTATTTAATATAATCAAACCTTGTAAGAACTGTCATTTTGCAAACAAGAAGAGATGATTCAATCTGGTCTGTCACAAATTAGACTTAAGATTTGTTGTTTTGTGAATTAAATTTGTCGAATTCCTTTGTGGCCAGAGTGGGGATTTAAATCATAAATCAAAATCAAAATCATTTTGCAATAGGGTGGGGGAGTTTTTTGCGATTAAAATCAAAATCACAAATCAAATTGTGATTTTTGATTTAAGTCTCATATGATTTGAAAAATGATTTTTGATTTAAATCATTTTACCCAAGTGATTTATTTTTGATTTATGATTTAAATCATTTTGTATAAAAGATTTATTTTTGATTTATGATTTAAATCATTTTGTATGAAAGATTTATTTGTGATTTATGATTTAAATCATTTTGTATAAAAGATATAATTGTGATTTATGATTTAAATCATTTTGTGTATGAAAGATTTATTTTTGATTTATGATTTAAATCATTTTGTATGAAAGATTTATTTGTGATTTATGATTTAAATCATTTTGTATAAAAGATATAATTGTGATTTATGATTTAAATCATTTTGAGTATGAAAAATTTATTTCTGATTTATGATTTAAATCATTTTGTGTATGAAAGATTTATTTGTGATTTATGATTTAAATCATTTTGTATAACAGATATAATTGTGATTTATGATTTAAATCATTTTGTGTATCAAAGATTTATTTGTGATTTATGATTTAAATCATTTTGTATAAAAGATATAATTGTGATTTATGATTTAAATCATTTTGTGTATGAAAGATTTATTTTTGATTTATGATTTAAATCATTTTGTATGCAAGATTTATTTGTGATTTATGATTTAAATCATTTTGTACAAAAGATATAATTGTGATTTATGATTTAAATCATTTTGTGTATGAAAGATTTATTTTTGATTTATGATTTAAATCATTTTGTGTATGAAAGATTTATTTGTGATTTATGATTTAAATCATTTTGTATAAAAGATTTATTTGTGATTAATGATTTAAATCATTTTGTGTATGAAAGATTTATTTGTGATTTATGATTTAAATCACATTGTATGGGGATTTTTTTGGGATTTTAAATCACTTGAAGGTGAAAATTTGTTTGGGAATTTTCAGAAGATTATTGCTAAGCGCGTACACGAAGAAAGCGTGCGTACACTATTTAGCTTAACATCACAAACACTTAAAAGTGTAAAACTTAATTATCATTGTTACTTAAACTATTACTTGTCTCCTAAAGTTTCCTAATTATCTTACTACTTTTATATTTTTATATCACTAGCTTTTAAGCTTTTCTGTCCGAATGGGCCAATAAAAGTCAATCAATCAATCAATCAATCAAAAAACATTAATCATTAATCATGGATATCCTTTCTAGCTTTTGGAAAAAATTACAGCAACCATTGAGTCCATGATTTTTCATTGAAATAATATTTTGTTAATAAATTTTCATTTTTTGTGTCTTGTTGCTTAAGTATGCAGATGTTGATGTAGCTCTAAATGATAAAGCATGAATGGATCTAGCATCATATGAGGAACTAGTCACTTCCAGTCCCTCTAAAGCATTTTTTGATATGATTTCATTGTCAATGATTAAGTCATTTAAGAATGAAGTACTATTTCTGAGCATTTTTAATCTTCAGGCACTAAAGGAACCGGTCGGTTCCGTAAAAATTTTTTTTTTCAGGATGTGATTCCTTGATTAAAAAGAAACAAAAAAAATTTTATTTGGATGTAAAGGAACTGGGCAGTTCCAGTGTCTAACCATACCTCTTGCTAAGAAACACAAACGTATACCTCATTGACAATGAAATCATATCAAAAAATGCTTTAGAGGGACTGGAAGTGACTAGTTCCTCATATGATGCTAGATCCATTCATGCTTTATCATTTAGAGCTATATCAACATCTGCATACTTAAGCATGATTAATGATTAATGTTTTTTAACAATCTTCTGAAAATTCCCAAACAAATTTTCACCTTCAAGTGATTTAAAATCCCACAAAAATCCCCATACAATGTGATTTAAATCATAAATAAATCTTTCATACAAAATGATTTAAATCAAAAATCACAATTTGATTTGTGATTTTGATTTAAATCGCAAAAAACTCCCCCACCCTGTGCATGGCATAATGTTGAATGAAATTCAATATAAATTGAAGTTTGCTTTGAAAATTAAATCATATTTTAACTTTTCTCGAAATAAATTTACTTATCTTAATTTCCATTGCTCTTGTATAATGCTCAGATCAAATACAGTTATAATTTAAAATTTTAACGTTTTCATTAAATTCAGGTTTATAATTCACACTTTTTTCTAAAATTAATTATTGCACTTAGATTGAATTATTATGTGTCAACTTCACGAAACTTCGAACGAGACTGAAAAAATTGCATAAAAAACGAAAATTCTATGATAACTGAGATTATTTTTTTGATGAATTTTAAATTCAGAAATTGGAGTCAGAAATTTTCTTTTCTAATTTAAGATCAACCTCCATGAGCAGCAAATAGGATATTATTTACCCTTCAATCCAGAATTCCAAGCCGTGTGAATATAATTTTTCATACCAGTCATGTGTATTGTTGCATGTTTTTGTTTTGTATGTTACATAAAAGTGAAAATGGAAATATTTTGTGCTGATAATAAATAATTTCACGTGAAATGCAGTGCAAAATTGAATTTGCTGTCACACTACTTTTTCACCCAACTTTGTTTTTGTTTACCAGATTCCGTAGCTTAATCACTTTTTTCCACGAGAAAAGCAGGATGAAAATTTTCAAAACTTTCTGATAATTTAATCTGTTGTACTTGATTTTTTGAGGAATTTCAGTTGCTGTATTGACTTAATTTTTAAGACTTGCACATAAACTCACTTAGAAATTAGATCCTTATATTTAATAAACTTTGAACTTATGACAAGAAGTTTAAAAATAATTTTAAAAAAATTTACAATATTAAGCGAATGCAAGTTTGCACTAATACAAAATATTATGACTGAGTCAGGCAATAACAAAAGACAATACTAAACATAAAGTTCTATATATAAAGAATTTGCACTTTACTTTAAAATTCAGTGAGTTTTTATAGCTGCTATCATTCACAGTGCCTTAAGTCATGAACATTTTAAATATTTTAAGTATTATTTTTCTAAAATTCATCATTACTAATGCACAATTTGATCCACATTGGAAGGAGGGGAGGAACACAATTGTTCATTTATTTGAGTGGAAATTCCGAGACATCGCAGAAGAATGTGAGAAGTTTTTAGCACCACGAGGATTTGCAGGCGTGCAAGTCTCACCTGTTACTGAAAATGTTATTATCAAAAATCGACCTTGGTGGGAGAGGTAGGAACTAGTTTTTAATGGATCAAAACTTGGAAAGTAATTAAAAATATTATTTTTTCGTTGTTCTTTAAAAGGTATCAACCAGGTACGGAGGATTAAATATCTCATTTATGAAACTTCTTATTGTAATTTATTTTATAACAAACTTTCAGTGAGTTACATAATAGAATCTAGGTCAGGAAATGAATCAGAATTCGCAGAAATGACAAGACGTTGTAATGCAGTCGGAATTCGAATCTATCCAGACGTAGTCATCAATCATATGTCAGGTGCAAGAGGTTACGGGCTTGCTGGATCTGAAGCAAAGACTGAAATATTCAGTTTTCCTGCAGTTCCTTACTCAAACTTAGATTTTAATACAGGATGCTCGATCAACAATTATGATAATGCTATTGAAGTCCGTAACTGTGCATTGAGTGGTTTGCCAGATTTGAATCAAGGCAAAGAATATGTCCGTGATAAAATTGTTGAATATCTTAATCGATTAATTGATTTAGGTTCAGGTGGGTGGCAGCTTTTCATTGCTCAATAAATGGACTCTGAATTAATAGCAATAAATTTTTATTGTAGCTGGCCTACGAGTTGATGCCTGTAAACATATGTGGTAATTTATATTTATTAACAATTTATGCATGGTGTGCACAATAAAATATTAATATTAATGTTTTTAAGGCCTGGCGATTTGGAAATAATTTATAAGCGATTACACAATTTAAATACATCACACGGCTTCCCGGAAAATGCACGTCCATTTCTCACACAGGAGGTTATCGATTTAGACTCACATCCAAATGGACGAACAATTTCCAAATATGAATATATTGGATTAGGAACAGTGACTGAGTTTAAATTTTCAGCTGAGATTGGAAAACTGTTTAATGGAAAGAACCAACTTCAATGGACGAGGAATTTTGGTTCTGACTGGGGAATGCTACCATCTGATAGAGCTTTGACATTTGTTGATAACCACGATAAGTAAATTATTGTCAACGTTTATAAATTTTGATGATTTTCTTATATTTTTTTCTTTACTTCACATCAGTCAAAGAGGTCATGGAGCAGGTGGAGCAGACATCTTGACATACAAAAACCCAAGACCATATAAAATGGCAACTGCATTTCATCTGGCATGGCCATATGGAATTTCAAGGATTATGAGTAGTTTTGCCTTTGATAATACTGATGAGGGACCTCCTATGGATGATAAAGGTGACATAATTTCCCCAAAAATCAATGAAGAAGGTGCATGTACTAATGGATGGGTTTGTGAGCATCGATGGAGACAAATTTATAACATGGTTGAATTCAAAAATGTTGTTAAAGACACGCCGGTTGCAAATTGGTGGGATAATACAAAGAATCAAATTGCCTTTTCACGTGGAAATCGTGGATTTATTGTGTTTAATGGTGATAACTTTGACATGAATGAATGGTTCACAACGGGATTGCCAGCTGGAATTTATTGTAAGTATTGCACTGAGGATGTCTAGTTTAAAATAAATTTTAATATTTATATAATGATAGGTGACGTTATTTCTGGAAGTAAGAATGGAACATCTTGTACAGGAAAATCAATGACAGTTTTTGATGATTCACGTGCCTTTGTATCAATTGCGAATAGTGATGAGGATGGTGTCAGGGCCTATCATATAGGTGCTAAATTATAAATTATTTAAATCAATAAATCTTCATAGTAAAATTTTAATTCCCGTGTTTTTTTTACGTCAATAACTTTTATATCCTATGGCTATTTAAAAACTTAAAAGCATCTATTATGTTCCACTTCAAAAAATAATAAAATAGGATTTAGTGTCATAAAAAATTGCGTATATTGATTAATAATCAGCTGTGAGAATAATTGTAAGAAATACTCGAGAAACAGCTCACGAGGAGTGATAATGATAATTTATAGTAAATAGCGTGAGAATTTTACTTTTGATTGTTATTTAAAATTGAAGGAAAATTTACTGCACGTGATTAATGATTGTGATCCCGACAAAAACTGTTTTACGGATTTAAAGGTTGTGGAGTTAATAATAATAAATATTTTATCAAAATCAACATGCGAAGGGTCGACACAGAAGTTTAAACTGAAATTCACAACAATTTTTTTTATAAATGCTGGAATTTCGCATTTATTGAACTGCCTTATTGCGGCTTATGACTTTAATACACTTTAAACATTTTAAGTCTCATACAATAAAGTTGATAAGATTTGTTTCACCTGTTGTTTGTCCAAAATTTTCGATAGTATTTTTAAATGATAAGCACATTGTCTATAATTGATGAATTTTACATTTTTTTTTGTATAAATTGCAAAAAACTTTCTTATTTTGCTTCCATTTTTATATAAATTTATTTCAATTCTGATGATCAAAATCTAAGAAAAATTTGATGCTGTATTAATCTTTGTAAAAATAATATTCTGATTTGACCAAATTAAACTTATTTAAAATGAATTAAATTTGTTAATCAATTTTTCAATTTCCTCAGACACGATCGCAAAAAAAAAGCTTTTTAATTTTAAAATCAATTTAATATTATTTCAGACTAGCTGTTATCGGTTATCAAATTTAATCACCTCAATGGGGTTATTTTTGGACTTCTATAAAAGCAAAATTCCGAAAAATTAATAACTTAGTAGGATTTTCAAGATGAAATCGTTCGCACTGTTATTGGTTGTTGGCTTTACGTTAGTTTATGGACAATTTGATCCACACTGGAGGGCCGGAAGAAGGTTTGAGGCTAATTTTAAATTGATTATGTGTCGAAAAATATTTTTTCAATTAATCTATTAACTTGATTAAAGATCGATACGAGATTTAGAGTAAATTTTAATCATGCTTAAATAATATACTTTTTCATCCCAAATTCAGTGTGATGGTTCATCTTTTTGAATGGAAAGTAAGTTGCCTTCATGTTTTTTCCACGTGAAATAAATATTTAATTCCTTTCAATCGCTTATCAATTTGCTACATAGTGGAATGATATCGCGAACGAGTGTGAGACATTTTTGGGTCCAAGAGGATATGCTGGTGTTCAGGTAAGGGAGATATTTTGTATCTGGTTTGAAGATGATTCTATGAAAATTTAAATTAGATCTCACCACCCGCTGAAAATGTGATTATTCGTACGCCTTCTCGACCTTGGTGGGAAAGATATCAACCAGGTGTGTTGATAAAAGTATATTTATATGATGTAAACCAAATAAATAATTGTAATTGATTAGTAAGCTATTCATTGAACACACGTTCCGGAAATGAGGCGACATTTGCTGACATGACTCGTCGCTGTAATGCTGTAGGTGTAAGAATTTATGTTGATCTTTTATTGAATCATATGAGTGCCACAACTGGAACTGGAACAGGTGGAACTATTGTCAGTACTCCTAGAAATTTTCCTGCTGTTCCTTATGTTGATGCAGATTTTAATCCTACTTGTAGCATTGATTGGTGAGCTTTAATATAGAAGATTGATTTTTAAGTTAATTTAGAATGATTTCTTTAGGGGAAGTGCTACTTCCGTTAGAAATTGTGAGCTTGTTGGACTTCCTGACCTTGATCAATCGCGATCGAACGTAAGACAGCATCTTATTAACTATATGAATCGCTTAATTGATCTCGGTGTAGCTGGTGAGTTGATTAGTCAATTGGTTTAAAGGCTTCAATTGTTAGGACATGCTTAATTCGTAGGTTTTCGGCAAGATGCCTTGAAGCATATGTGGCCTGCAGATCTCCAAGTAATGTTTTCACAACTTCACAACTTGAACACTAACCACGGATTCGCTGCAAATTCGAGAGCTTATATGGTCGGTGAAGTTATTGATAACGGAAATGAGCCTATTAGCGGAACTGAATACTTTGGATTTTCAACAATCACTGAATTCAGATACTCAAACGCAATTTCCAATTCATTCCGTGGAAATGATCAATTGAGATGGTAAAACGTGATATAAACTTTTTTTGAATATCTAAAACATAAAATTTTACAGGCTTAGAAATTTTGGAGAAGCCTGGGGATTCCATCCATCTAACAGAGTTTTGACATTCGTAGAAAACCACGATAATGGTATTTAATGTTAAACTTCCAAAGGAACGCACAAGATAAACTTCTTTTAATTTACAGAACGAGGTGGTGCTTTATCATACAAAAGTGCTAGACAATACAAAATGGCAGTAGCTTTCCATTTAGCATGGAATTATGGAATTCCCCGTATTATGAGCAGCTTTGCATTTGAAGGACATGATATGGGACCACCAATGGATGCCAATGAAAATCTACTTTCACCATTATTTGATGCAGCAGGAGCTTGTACCAACGGATGGATCTGCCAACATCGTTGGAGACAAATTTTCCATATGGTTGAATGGCGTAATGTGGTTGGAACTGGTGCTGTCGCTAATTGGTGGGATAATGCTAACAACCGAATTGCCTTTTCACGTGGAAGTCGTGGATTTATTGCATTTAATGGTGAATCTTCAAACATGAGTGAATGGCTTACAACTGGATTGCCAGCAGGTGTCTACTGTGAGTATAAACTTTTCAAAGCCAAACGTTCTCTTACAAATGATTTATTTCAATCAGGTGATGTAATTTCGGGAGAAAAAAGTGGAACAACTTGCACAGGAAAGTCTATTCAAGTCTTTGAAGATTCCAGAGCATTATTTTCAATTGCAACAACAGACTTTGATGGTGTCATTGCAATCCATGTTGATGCTAGACTTTAAGTTTGATTGCTTTATGATGAAAATGATGTAACAAAATAAATTGTGCAGTGGAATCAAATGTTTGTCTTTAATTGAAGACTAATAATTTACAGGTCATGAACTGTTTACTGTGAATCAATTGACACGTGTGGCTTAGCAATTAATAAATTATGATTATTGATCACTGCTAAGTTTTGGAATTTTTTGATTTTTTTCCTCCTTGTTTATGACCAATTTGATACACCTACAAGACATATTAATGGCTGGGTCAGTACTCATCGTTGAGGTAGATTCTCTCACCGTAAAATCATTTGATTCCTTATTTAATTATTTTAAATGCGTTAAATTCATGCTTATTTACAACTGTAAATATTTTCAACAGAGCTTTTATTTATTGTTTATCGCTTGTCTCACTCGGCTGACGCGTGAATGTTTCTTTTTGAAAATCAATTAATGATCCCCACTGAACTTTTCATTATATCTTATCGGTTATCAATACGAGTTTTTAGAAGCATCAGATTAAAGTTTTCCTATAAAAGCAGAACAATATTTGAGAAGATTTTCAGTTTAATTTGTGAAAATGGTTAAAGTTCTCTTGAGTTTAATATTGGTGGTGTTTGTTATTGCGCCTCTTAAGGCTCAATGGGTGAGTTTCTCTGGAATTTTCCTTAAACATGGTTGGTAAATATTTATTAATATTCAGGATCCACATTATCAAACAAATAGAAATGCAATGGTGCATTTATTTGAATGGAAGTGGAGAGATATTGCAAATGAATGCGAGACATTCTTAGGACCGAATGGATTTGGAGGTGTCCAAGTCTCACCTCCCACTGAAAATACAGTAATAACCCTTGAGTGGCTCAGTAGTAAGTTTATTCCTATCGAGTCCTTAAAAGTTCTTTAATTTCAATTTTAAATTCAAAACACAGCAAAACGTCCTTGGTGGGAACGATATCAGCCAGGTGAATCGTGAAATCAATTTTGAGTGCAATTAATCTATTAATTAAATCTTTAAAAAACAGTAAGTTATAAACTAGAAACACGTTCTGGAAATGAGGCTGCATTTGCTGACATGTGTCGCCGCTGTAATGCTGTTGGTGTCCGAATTTATGTAGATCTGCTTTTAAACCACATGAGTGCAACAACTGGAGTTGGAACTGGTAAACATACATGACTAAGAATTTTTGTGAGTCACTTATTGTATTTTCAAACAAAGGTGGAAGTATTGGAAATGCATCAACAACTTATCTTAACTTCCCAGCAGTTCCTTACACAACAGCAGATTTTAATCCATATTGCAGGTAGAAAATTTGTTCTCTGAATTCACTCAAGTCCTTATCATAGCCACAAGCACTTAATTTTATTTTAATCATGATTTTCTTATCTCGAACTTCAGTCTTGATTGGAACTCTCAAACAAGCATCCGAGAATGTTGGCTCGTTGGATTACCCGACATGAATCAGAAAAGACAAAACGTTAGAGATGCTCAAGTAAATTTGATGAATCATCTTATTAATCTTGGTGTTGCAGGTGAGAACTAATTAAAAGTCAAGTGTTACTGCTTGAAATTATAAAGAGAACCACTTGTGATTGTTTATAAAATTTATCAAACCTTGATATGCATTGGGAAAGTGATTAGAAGTCGTACTTTAAACCAAAGTTTGTTTATGCTGCTTATCAGGCAATGAGTGACTTTTGAATTTTGACTGACATCTTACAATGATTTTTCATTTTACTTGCTTCTATTTCTGTTTCTTAAAAAAACTATTTTAAGAATTTTAAAAACAACAAAATATATTTTTATTTTTTCAAAAAGGTTTTCGCATTGATGCTTCGAAAGTAAGTACGGTCTATAGACATCCACAAAATATAAAAACAAAATGTTTTATAATCATTTAATTAAATAAAAAAAAATTCACAAACAGCACATGTGGCCTGAAGATTTAGAGCATATTTACGGTAGACTACATAACTTGAACACAGCTCAGGGCTTTGCATCAAACAGTAAGCCATTTATTTTCCAAGAAGTTATCGTTGGAGATGGAATTGAGATGTTAGTATGGAACTATTATTAAAAATATTATTTAAATGTTTAATTTTGCAGGAGTCATTATACTCATCTTGGTGCTGTAACAGTTTTCGAAGCTTCTAGGTAAGTAAAACTTAAATTTTTCTTTTATAAATTTAATTCTTATTAAAACTTATATAGAATTCTCGGACAAGTTCTTCGTGGACATGCTGACATTTATGATTTAGTTTGGTTCCGTGATAGATTCGGTATTCAATCAAAAGAAGCTCTTATTTTTGTTGATAATCATGTAAGAATTATGAATTTAAAGCATTCTGGTTTAATAAACATGTCTAAATAATATAGGACAACCAAAGAGATGGAGGACTTCCACTTACAAATCATCGTGAGCCACGTATTTACAAACTTGCAACAGCTTATAATTTAGCACAAGATTATGGACATCCACGTCTCATGAGTTCATATTATTTTGATCAAAGAGATCAAGGTCCACCACAAGACAGTTCACAAAACATTCTTACACCCACATTTGATGCTAATGGTCAGTGTAACAATGGATGGGTTTGTGAGCATCGATGGCCAGCAATTAGAAATATGGTTCAATTCAGTGTTACTGTTAAAGGAACAACCGCTCATAATTGGTGGACTGGCTGGAATGAAATTGCATTTAGTCGAGGAAATCGTGGATTTATTGTCATAAATGCTAAAGATAATGGAGATACAACAAATACTCGATTGTATACAGCACTATCAGCTGGTATTTATTGTGATATGGCAACAGGAACTAAGGTCAATAATCAATGCACAGGAAAGACAGTGACAGTAGAAGGAGATGGATATGCAAACATTACTATTCCAGGAGCTAATAGCGGAGAGGAGACTTTCCTTGCTATACACATCGATGCGAAATTGTAAATTTGAGATTAAAAACAATAAAAAAGAATTTTTATAAAATTTCATTGAATCTTATCATTTAGTTGTTAGGAATAGGAATTTCAGCAGTAGCAATACATACAAAGTTTCACTCATCATTTGACCTTATTCACATTATACCTGTATATGTCAATCGACTGTAGAAAAATATAGATTGCCGCTCACATCTTATCTCAGTTTATTACTGAGTGTTCACTGAGTAGCAAGTATTTTTTTTCTTTACAGTCTATCTTCTCGTTTAATTATTAAAATTTAGAAGAACTCAAAAAATATGAATAAAATTTTATTTACATTGTTGCACATAATCTTTGTGGTTTATGGAAATCCTGTTAAAAGAGATGGTGAGATTTTTATACATTATAAATTTTATTGCAAATGCTGTAGTTTGTGGGTTAAAAATATTCAATATTTTTTGTAATATCTTTTTATCTTTACCAAGATTTGGTATGTCAAATTATGTTAAAGTTTCCAAAATAAGATTTTATTAGGACAAAGTTTCTGAAAGTTTATTGACTTTTGAATTGATTCTCTTCGTTTATTGATATTGTAAAGTCACATACAAAATAAGTTTGTTTACTATTTTCATTTCTGATATTTATAAAACGTATTCAGAAGCAGTAGACTAGTTGTGCATTCTAGGGTTTATTACTGAAATCTAATAAACATTTTCAAAATATGTAAAACATTTTTCATCCAAAAACCACAGGTGTAAGCTACAAGTTAACATCAGGGGAATTTAAATCTTTTGATGAAATCCCTGTTATGATTATAAAGCTAATTCCTTCAAGTGAAAGTACATCCGAAGATTTAGAACATGAAATACCAATTGAATTTCCCTTTCAAATTGCCAGAAGTATCGATGAGATATTGAATTTCAATCGAAATTCTTTGAAGACAGAAAAACCCAGCAATGAAGATACAGCCACTTGTCCAAATACAGACATTGTTTTTAATACTGAGGCTTCAACACAAGATACAAATAAATTTGAGAATTTAAATTCCATTTTAAATAAAAGAAAACAGAGAGATGATAAAACATTTACGAATGTCAATAAAGCAGACCAGTCAGTGTCTGAAGCATCTGTGTCTATGTCAAATTCTGAATCTTCAATATCATCAGATCGTAAGATGTTAAAGGAATTGTCTAAGCATAGAAAGCAAAACATGGAGAAAGTTTTTGAAAACAATAAGAAAATCATACAGAATGAAATTTCAAGGTCTTCAAAAGAAAACGAAAATTTATTTGAAGAGACTTTCATACTTGAAAAAGTGAATGGTGAGCCAGTCAAAGAAACTCTGACAATCGCAAAAATGGATGATACTGTAGTTCAAGAATTAGGATTAGCATCAAAAGATGGAACTGAAGAAGAAATTGAAAACCTCGAAACAATTAGTAAATCGGAAGAATCTCTAGTGCCCTTTAATTCGCGTATTCTTGATATCTTGATGAATCCATTCCGTATCTTTTAAAAAGGCAAGCTTGAAATCTATAGAGTTGAGTTGCCAAGTAGAGTAGTTTCGATTTAAAAATTAAAATATTTCTTAAGCTTCTTAAAAAATAATCCTCAAACTTAAAAAGACACGTGCCTTCAGGGATTATAGAAATTTCAAGAAAAACTTTCTTTTAATTTTTTGAAAATTTTAAGCTTTTTGGACCCAAAAAACTCTAGATGACGATTATGGAACATTTTAAATATACTAAGTCATTACTCAAATATGTTTAACGTTAAATGTACTTTTATGAATTAAATATATATCCATTAGTGATATGCGCATTTTATTATTGTTTTTGTTTTTAAAAATTCTAGTGAATAAAAGATGAGTAATTTTCAATGAGAAATAAAATTTGTTGTGTACCCAAGTGTCTTTATTATATATAAAAATGACTATTTCGTGTTTGGTGAAATTCAATGAATAATTTGTTATTTTATCACATCCTGCAACAAACGAAACTGAAAACTTATTGATTATGATTCAACAATGTTGTGTTGATCACTCACGTTCTGGGGGATTTGTGTTGTTTTGCGTAATTTATTGCAAAATTTAAATTCCTGTGGAAATAAATTCTGGAAGAATAGGAATTACGTATGGATATAATTGCTTACATTACTGATTTCCTGTTTAGATTTTTATCAATTACTGTTGGTAAAGATGTTGGTAAATTATTGGCGAAGAGTTTATAGAAAGTCATTTGAATAGCTTACATTAGTGAACTTATTATGGAGACTATGACGAATTCAAAACATTGAACAACAATTCTCAATATCACGGAACGAGTACGTGAACTTTAACATAGCACATCTTTGCATTTTACATATTTAATACCCAAATGGTACAAGTCGGTTAATCGAATAAAAATCCGGTGCCTAGCCTACATGACTCTGGCATGGTGCAGGCATCAATTCAAATCCAGCACCATGCCAGAGTCACACCAGTTTAGTTTCGGATTTTTGATCGATTAACCAACTTGTGCCATTCGGGATAGTTCCTGTAAAATCTTTAACATAAAAATTTTCTCTAAATCTTTCATCAATATTTATTCGCAATATAAAAAATAATCTTTATTAACAATAGAGTCAAAATGCAAACACAAATCATGAATGAATGGATGAGATTATTTACATTTCATGAAACTCTCTCAATCGCCTTGGCATTGGCACTCCATAGAACTCAAACAGTATGGAATTTGCAATATGATAGAAAAACTTTTTGTAATTCTCGTAGCGTGTTTTTACTTCCTGTAGAATCAGAAAATTTGTTATTGGTTGTGTTTCATGGTTAATGCTATATGTTGATCCTGAATTAAGGAGTTGACGTGTTGCATTAATGTAGGTGTAAAGATAACATGAAGGTGCGTCGCTTATTGTTGTTACTTTATGAAACACACCTGATTTAACACCAATGCTTTGTCCTTTTGTCAAAAAACTAGCTGTCGTGTCATTTTCCTGTTCATATTTCAAAATTCCTTCGAGGACTGTAAGTGTAACATTATCCATAACAGGCAATACATAATTATCAAGTGTCATGCCTGGGAAGTCGGCTATAAACAGCACATCCGTAAAGTTATTCCATGAATAAACATCCTTTGATATATCCATAATATCCTTCCGAAAATACGAATATTCTTTTATTAGTGGCAGTGTAAATGATGGTGTACGAAACGGATTCCAATCACTCTTTAATAAATCAATTGTTGGATTGTAAATTCGTTGTTGAAATCTGCCATTTAAGGAACACCATATGTCAAAGTATATTGAGAAATTATCGGATGAAAGCATTGAATTTGGATTCTCATGAAAGTCAGCTACAAGATTGTGATTAATGCATGTAGCATATTGATAAGTCATGTCAGGATATTGAGTCCATCGATATGAATCAGTGAATGCCAAAGGTTCCATAAAATGTTGTTTATTATTGCCATGATCGACGACACGAACTGACACCAACATTGTTGACCATTCGTTCATCATCATATCCCATGAATATCCGTAGATATGTCTCCAATTGTTATAGCCTTTTGTGATAAAATGTGAATAGGGTAGAAAGAATTGCAGACAACAATAAATTAAAATGAGAAGAGTCGTAAATTTTTCCTTTAATGTACATCGCGTTTTGTTGCTTCTCTCTTTCTTCTTACTAAATGACAATGTCCGTTTTATGCTCATTACTTTGTCATTTTTGGAATCATCGGAAGTCAATGAACATTTCGATTTCCTCCACACATTTCGTGGCCAATTGTTTTCATAGAATAAAGGAAGTTCAACAATGCATACAAATGGAAACATTCCAATGTTAAATATCCTTGAATTTATTAAATGAAAGGATAGTGCAAATAATGTCCCAATAATCCTAGTCCTTTTATAAATTAAGAAGAATGCAATGGATGTATCAAAAATGGTTGCGAACCAATGCACAACAAAAAGATTCGTCAGCTCTGGACCAAGCAATAGTCGAAATGGTGTAAAAATCCAATGATGATTAAGATTCGTCATTGAGTGACCTGCGAGCCATTCAACAGAAAACTTTTTTAATCCAGCAATAAAGTAGAGAATAAAAAATTGGAATTTTAGGAGAAAATAATTCCAGAATGGCACTTTAGATTCAAGTTTATTACACCAAGCATCAAATGAGCTATAATTTATGTTAGAAAAAGGAAATAGTGGGAAATAGAAACAGAATTAAATTTATTACTTTATACATGCCATTTATCGCACAGTAAGAAACTTACCAAAAATGATGAGCATTTGTAAATAAAAACAAAAACGCAACCAATCCATATAAATAGCTATGATTGTTCCACGAACTTTTATCAAGGAGAAATAGGTACCAATACGTTATTACAAAAACAAGACACGATGATTTAAATTTATATCCTAAAGTTATTCCCAGAGCTCCTGTAAAAGATATTAAAATGAGATAAAAAGTCAAAAAAAAAAATTGGCTTAGGACAAACAAGAACAACGAAGATTAAAGGGAAATAAAGAAGATTCAACGTGATAAAAGATTCTCGTAAATCAATCAGAACCAAACAAATCTACAATTCTGATTGTTTTATATCCTTTATTTCCCTCAGCTTTGGAATCGAGTTTCCTAATAGTACATGAAAAAGACATTTTCATTTCTATTTCAGTTTTTAAAAGAAGTGAATGGCATAGGAATTTTATCGATTATTTACAATTGAAATTTTCCGAATTAAAGTTTTAGACTAAATTTAAGAATGCTAGAAATGAATTGAATCAGATCAATGGATATTATTGTGCATTATAAAGAGTATATCAGATAATTTGGTAGCTATTTAACAGATAACTGCTGAAAAATTACAATTATGGCTTAACAAATCTAATTCTTCAAGCAGGTTAAGAGTTAAACAACAGCATGGATTATTAACGCCTGCAAAGTAAGACTTTCGGATTCATCTCGCAAGTTTGAAACCCATTTTCACTTTATAAAGGTTTCCAGTTAGAATACTTAAGTTTAAACAATAACTTAAATGTGATATTGCCTTAGGGGCTGTTCACTTATTACGTAACGCGAAAAAATGACTTCTTAGACCCCCCCCCCCCTCGTAACAAAATTTGTATGAAAAAAAAATTTCCTTGTTTGAACCGTAACAAAATCTTAGACCCCCCCTCCCCCTACGTAATAAGTGAATGGCCCCTTAATGCTTTCATTAATTTATTAAATGATTCATATTAAGCTTTAACACTCAAAAACCCTTCCAAGAAGGACGATTTACAATTCCAATGATTTTCTAATCTCAAACACAGCACCAATTTGAAGAAAAACAGTCAAAAGCTTAACATCCTACCTATAAAATTTAATTTCAATGTTAAAGCCCAAACATTTAATCATTATTATGATGGTCGTTTGCGGCAAACATTTTTCAATTAAATAAAGAGCAAAGAAAAGGTTTCATTCCTTCTTGGAATTTAACAATTACCAAAAGTTAATTAAAGCGTTTAAAAATTCTTTCGACACTCGTCAATAGAAAATTAATTCAGAATTTTTCTTGCATTTTTGTCTGAGCATTTGGTGGACATTCTTAGTTTTTATAATTTCTAGACAATTTCAAACAAACATTTGAAAGATAAATAATTTTATGAATCATTATTGTGGAATAAATTTTTTACTTCATCACATTGTACTTACCTAACCACATTAAACAATAAATAAGACCCATTTTGGCTAAAGAGAGAGGTTTTATGAACGGAAATAATGGAAAACGACAATCTTTAGTTTCGCCCCAACGTAAGTCGAGATCACTCCCACCGCGCTCTTCTGGTATATCCATAAGCATCATTATACCTACGTTAAAAGAAAAGAACATCAAAATTTATGACGACTTTTAAGATGTGAATCCCTTGCGTTAGATTTAATAAGGCTGTAAAGCAACACTAAGCAAAATTTTCCTTAAAATCTTTATAAAGCATCAACAATAGCAAGGGTATTATGATTATGATGCAGTTTTTTGTTCTCTTCCTTACCAAAAAGCATTCTGCAGATGCCAAGGCTCGCCGCATCAACTTCAGTCCACATAAAATTTGTAAAATCATCAAACGATGAAATATCCCGAATGTCATGGCCAGTAAAGTTGTTGAATAATTTCTTGATTTTCCTCCATTTACATTTTTCACTTTTGTTGTTTGATGTTTCCATATTTACTGCTGAGTCATTTATTTAATACTCTTAAGTACAAAGTAATTCATTTCATTCTTCTTTTGTAGACTTTTACTTTTCTAGAGATATGAAGTTCCATAAAGTTTCGGTCGAGATAAAAAGAGAATAATGAATTTTATTAACATTGAATTTTCTTAAAATCAGAACGTGCCACAGATTCTACTTATATTTCCACATTAGTGTAAAATCTAAATTGAATTTCGTGTTACGAGCATTGTTAAAAGAGGTTAAAAGCTTAAAGATTTATCAAACAAATCACTGTTTTCGGATTCTTTCGCTTGTCTCTTCTTTATTTACTTGAACACGTTTGAAAAACAACATAAAATCAGGAGTATGATAAAATAAATGAAAGTTATATTACACTGTGATCTTTTTGATTGTAGCAACTTTGTTTTCTCATTTAAAAAATTTCATGATCTGAATTTTTTCCGGATCGGGTTTGTTTATTATTTCAATTTTTTAAAGACATAATTTTTAAATTTCACCTTAAAGATTTTCAAAAGGATCAATTTAATACTTTATCTGTGATTAGCATTTTTTTGTCAAACAAAATTTACACAAATCCTGAAAACATTTTATGTAGAAATTTTTATTTTTTTTACAGAAACCGGTTTCCAAGGCTGCTTAGATTACACATCAGACTAAGGTAGGTGCATTACGTTGCTTTTAAAATCTGCCCCAGGTTTCAATCAAATTTATTGTTATGACTTTTAGAATATTTCAATCCTGTTCAGCTTGATCAGTAGAAAATTTGAATTTATAATAATTTTGGACAATAATTAGAAGTAAATTCTTTAAAAGCTTAATTGCGAAAAATTTAAATTGAAAAAGAAGTCAAAACATTTAATCAATTTGAAGTTTATAAAACAAAATATTTACTTTGAACAAAAGACTCTTTAATCCACAAGAATTTTATTTGATAAGTTTCCACAATTTGAATATATTTTAAGAGAAACAAAAAATCTGTGTCTATTTAACATCACGTTCTACTCTTAACTAAATCTGTCTCTGAAATGAAAATTCATTCCAAATTGTACTTCAAGTTTTTCCATTGGAAAATTAAATTCTCATTTATTGGAAGCGTTATTATTGTTTTGATAAAAATATAACATAGCTCCATGTGCTTGGAAGTAACATGTGTTTGTGGAATAAAATATGTAAAGGTGATAATGTGTGGCGGTTAGTCAAAACTATTGTGATTGTATAGATTACTGATAGTAAGGAACTTTATAAATTTATAGCAATTTCGGGTATAAATTTGATAAAGTCTGATCCTGCTAAGTGGTATAGGTTAAGGTATTGTAGAACGTTTTGTATTATGTAAATTCAGGAAGTGGTACTCGTTAAATAAATAAAATAGTGTATTAGATAGAAACCCAATGCGGATATATTCACACCGTACCATCGAATGTCTAGTGGATATACCAAGCTTTGCTTAGCATTAATTTGAAAGTCTTAAGTTTCGCTCAGCATATGTTTGAAGGTATAAAGCTGAACGAGTCATCTGAGCTTTACAAAAATTAAGACACTCAAATATTAATGTTGCGTAGATGATAAACTTAATATCTCACAGTAAATTTGAGTTATACGAGTTAAAAATTAAAAAAAATTATTTTTTATCTCAAAAACAAAACATATATTAAAGACGTGTACAAAAATGAAATCTATTTTAAATCTCTTTATCAGAAGAAATAAAATAAAACAACATTATAAAAATAATCAGTTTTCGGAAGTAAAGCGTTCGTTACTGTCGTATAAACTTTTAATGTGCACTATTGATTAATTAAAACAGTTGTCGACTAAAATATTCCAAAAAAGTTGAAAGTAGAATTAAATTGACAAAATAACCACAAAAAATCTAATTAATCTAGTGTCAATTTCATTCTATTGTAAAAAGCACAAGACCTCGAAATTTTTTAAAAATAACAACAAAAAGTCAGCATGAATAGAAAGAGGGGAAAAATTCGCAGATAAAAGTTACAGGATTTTTTTTTACGATTTCCGATAACAGAAACACATGTATTGATAGCAGACATACTCAATGTTTAAAATAAAATTATATTTTATTCTACTTTTTGTCATTACGAAGCCAGTAATAGTCTCGCTGTGCATTGAAACGTGGAACAATATAATTACTCTTTTTAATAGACTAAATAAAATAATTTTGATATTCATAAAAAGTATAAATTGCAGAGAATTTAAACGAAAATTACTTAAAATTGAAAATCTAGTCATGAAAAAATTCTTGTTCTCAATAAAAAATTTAAAACGATGCTGCTATTTATTAGTTTTTCTAGTTCTCCTGCAATACTTCCTATATTATACGCGAAAATATAATTTTAGTGACTTTTCTGTAGAGAAGCAGCAGATTAAACTCCTTTTTGATCCACAAGATAAGATTGATTGGGAAAATACAAGTTTTATTCAATATGAAGCAAGTCGAGTTGGTCCTGGCGAACAAGGTAAGCCTTATAAGTTGACGGACCCAGATGAAATCAAGCAGAATGAAGAATATTTAAAGAAAGAAGGTTTTTATGTGCTTGTTAGTGATAAAATTTCGCAGCAGAGAGCTCTTCCGGACCATCGACCTAATTCGTAAGTCTAAAGACATAATTATATAATTCAGTAACATGAAAATGTGTTTGGTGCAAATGGAACTTGACATGATAACGTAGAGGAATAACAGAAAGTCAAAGACCTAGGAAACCATATATTCTAAAATAACGGACATTACCCTTATCAATATTTCTTAGACCATACACAAATATTATTTTATCATCTTCCTGTTTCGTACGAATGTTTTAAAACTAACACTTTTCAGTTGTAAACACAAAAAATATTTGAAGAAGCTGCCAAAAGTGTCTGTCATCATCACTTTTCATAACGAAGTATGGAGCGTGCTATTGAGATGTATTCATTCAATTTACAATCGTTCACCACCTGAGCTACTGCATGAAATAATTTTAGTAAATGACAAAAGCACATTTGAAGAACTTTATGAGCCACTTAAGAAACTTGTGACTGGTGCATTCGAAGGAAAGATTAAGATTCATGATAATGAGAAGCGCGAAGGTTTAATAAAAGCAAGAATGATTGGTGCGAAATTAGCAGAAGCTGAAGTGATAATTTTTCTCGATTCTCATATGGAAGTAACAAATACATGGCTGCCTCCATTATTGGAACCAATTGTTTATAATCCAACGTATGCTACAGTTCCACTTGTCGAAGGAATGAATCATGCAACATTCGAGTATGAATTTATTGGTCATGGTTATAGGGGAACTTTTGATTGGAACTTTAGATATCAATGGATTCCATTTAGGGAAGAAAGAGCAGATCCAGGACAGAATTACAATCTTTCAAGCATGACAGGTATGCAATAATATTCAGCATAAATCTCATTAAATTTCAAATAAATTTTAAAGGAGGAGCTTATGCGATTCGCAGAGAACATTTCTTTTATCTTGGTGGATACGATGAAGAGTTGAAGATTTGGAATGGTAACAACACATTTCTTAATAATCTCAAACGAATTATAAATGCATTTAATTTTAGGAGAGAACTACGAGTTGTCATTAAAATTATGGCTGTGTTCAGGTGGAATTTTTACAGTTCCATGCTCTAGGATAGTTCATTTAAGTAAGCTACGTAGTGCTTATAGAGATTTAGGTGATGGATCCGACTTTGTTGGCAGAAATTTAAAGCGAGTCGCTGAGGTTTGGCTTGACGACTACAAACAATATTTTTATAGAAATGACTTAAAACGCTATAGCAAGATTGATGCTGGAAATTTAACAGAACAATTCAAAAGAAAGGAATTGCTCAAGTGTAAACCTTTTAAATATTTTCTTGATGAAATAGCACCCGAAATGCTGCTTTACTATCCAATTGAACCGCAATATTTTGCTGCATTTTCAATACAGCATATGTCATCTTTAAGATGTATAAGCCTCAATAAAATGAGCTATCACGAACGTTTGATTCTATCAGGATGTAACTTAGACTTAGCAAATCCTCCCACAGGAACAGGTTTCAAATTAACGTTTGAAAAAAGCATTAGATACAATGACACTAATGACCAATGCTTAAATGGAAATACGTTGGCACTCTCAAATTGTCATCATGCAGGATATGAGCAGCATTGGGTATTTAATTTAGACTCGAGGCAAATTTATCAAGCATATGAGAAGAAATGCTTAGCTGGAAGCGATACTGATGATTCACTAACATTAGAATTATGTGATGATAGTTTACTAAGTCAAAAATGGAGGTGGGGATATGAAAATATTACTGCCTTAATGAACTGGGACAAAACAGGGATTAAAGTCAATTGATGCTCAATTAGCATAGTTATTAGAATTTTTTTTATGAAAGAGTGCCTGGTAATTTGTTTGTGGATCGGTGTAAGACACCAGAATTTTCCTGGATGAACGATTTCTTAGCAAGAGATATTAAGTCAATTAAGAAAGCTTTAAGATATTTTTTATACAAGCGATCAGAATGTATATTTATTATTATAAGATAAGCTATCTACAGTGCGTATGATTCGTTTAGCCGCACACAGTTTTTTGCTTTTTTCTTTCTAATATGCAACTTATAAAAATTCAATTATACTGTCAAATATTCTTCATTTATTACGTAATCAAGTAAGCTATAAATAATATTTTTAAAAAAAGTAGAAAAGAAAAAAAAATGAAAAAATAACGAAAATTTGGATTTTGAAAGTATGATTCGTTTAGCCGCACTAAGGAAAAAAAAGTATTTTCAGTGGATATTGTAAACAAATAAAGTTAACTTGTAAGTAATTTTAATTAAATAGATTATTATCTATAAAGTAACGCTATTAATTCACTAGATTACTGATTAAAAAACAAAAATTTATTCATGCTAAAAGGAAAATACTTAAATGAGACTGAAAAGGCTGTAATTGATCAATTAAAATCGATTGAGCTGTCCAATCGGGATATTGCAATGCGAATTAATAGAGACAAAAAGGTAGTAAGAAATTATTTAGCAAAAAGCAAAGATTATGGCAAGAAGAAGAAGACAAAGGGCAATACAAAAATTACAAATCGTGACAAAAATCGTGCAACCCTGAGCATATTGTAGAACGATTTAATTTGGCAAAAAGATACGTTCATTGGACTACGGAGTGGACAAATGTGGTCTTTTCAGATGAGAAAAAATTTAATCTTGATGGATCTGATGGATTTCATTACTACTGGCGCGATTTAAGAAACGAAAAGCAATTCAACTACTATAGAATTTTTGGTGGTGGCTCTTCAATGGTTTGGGCAGCATTCTCAATGCATGGTAAGACCCCGATTGCAAAAGTTACTACTCGGATGAAATCAGACAACTATATTCAGCTTATGGACGATGTTTTGATTCCATTTACAGACGATTTTATGGATGGTGACTTCATTTTTGTCCGAGATATTGCTTCAATTCATAAAAGTAAAAAGACTATGGAATGGTTTAGTAACAAAAATATCGTTGTTCTCGACTGGCCAAGCAGATCACTCGACATGAACCCAATAGAGAATCTATGGGGAATACTTGCCCGTCGAGCATATAGTCGAGGTCGTAAATTTTCATCCATTCAAGAGCTTGATTTATCAACACAGATGTTAGAAACTTTAGTCAATTCCATGCAAAATCGTCTAATTGAACTTATACGTAAGTATGGACACAAAACAAAATACTAATTCATCGTTTTTGGGCAAATAAAATATTTTTTTCTTAAGTGCGGCTAAACGAATCATACTTTTAAAATCCAACTTGATTACGTAATAAATGAAGAATATTTGAATTTTTATAAGTTGCATATTAGAAAGAAAAAAAGCAAAAAACTGTGTGCGGCTAAACGAATCATACACACTGTAGAACCTTTTTAAGTTAATAAAAATTTCAAGTAATACATAAAAAAATATTCAACATCTTTGAAAATAATCAACAATAGGAAATAAGAGCAGATAGATTTAGGCATATTAAGTCTAATACACAAGTTTCTCTCATTTCTTGCCGGACAGTTTGTGCATCAATACGTGGTTTTTTTATTAAATTTTTTTAATAAGTTTTTATTTTTAAAATGCAATTCATTAAAATTAAAAGAACACTGCTTTCAAGGATAAATCTTAAATGGTGCCTTTATCTTCAAATTTCTTTATTTTTTGTTCAATATTTGATTTTCTATACAATAAGGCAGAATTCTAATAACACGGAGAAAACAATCAAAGCTTTAACTGACCAAGAAGATCATATACAAAATAAAGATCTACAAGATAAGATTGATTGGGAGGATACACGATTTATTGAATCCAATGTTAGCAAAGAGAACAGAGTCCGTTTTAAACAAAAAAAATTCAAAATTTTCGCGCGGTATTTTTTTAAAATTTCAAAATAAGAAAGTCCGTTACTTTTTATTTTTTTTAAACTAGGTGTTTTTTAAAGCGTTAACATTTACGGAATGCAATTTCATCACAGTGATTATTTTAATCATAAAAACTAGTAGAAATGTTCACTAAAATTACAAATTACTCGAAAAATAATAATTTACAACGAATTTTTTTAAAAATAAGAACTTCGAAGATTCGATTTTCGAAAAATAAGAACCTCAAAAATTCGAAGTTCGAAAAATAAGAACTCAAAAATTTCTGTTTGCTAGCATTAGTATTGAATATGAGGAAGAATTTTTATTATCCTATAGAACAACATATTTTGTTGCATTTTCTATTCAGCATCCTGATTCTAGAAAATGTTTGAGTTTATATCAATTTAATAATGATGCCAATATTGTTCTAGGCAACTGTGGACCCGATCTAAGTTCTATCAAAGGTTCAGATGACATATTGACTTTAGAGAAGAGTATCAGGTACAATGACATAAATGATGAGTGCACTATGGGATAAAATCGATTTTTTTTCCAAAAACTATTTTATTGGCTTATTTGAAAGGTCTTTATTCAAGAAATCAGAATCTGTTTTAATTTTGGCCCAAAGTGCAGCAGTGCTGGAGATATAGCCCGAAATGTATTTTGATGACCTTCGATAGTTAATATTTTCAATTTATCAGAACTTTTTCTTGTCTCAACCAATTTTCTTGAAACTTTTTTTAAATGATATAAGATATAAGCCAAAGCTTTAATATAAATATCAGTCACATAAGTTTTACTTCATAGAAAGTGCTTAAAAATTGACTAAACTTCAAATGTTAGTAGTACGGCACACTTTTTTTGAGTATGTGGATTTCTGATGCACTTGAATGTTTTTATTTTTTCATAAATTTGTAGCTCTTTACTAGATCTACAAGAAAAATATCCCTTTCAAGGTTTAGAATTATTTTTATGCATCAAAAAATTTAAATTTTTTCAAAAGATATAAGGCTTTTTACTAGGTTTTGACTTCAATTGACTATAACTGCATATTCCAAGTGAGTTGAGAGACAAGTTTTGCCTGTTTTATATAGCCCTCACTTGTATCTTTTTAAAACTGTGAAAACCTGGAAAATAGTTTCACCAAATTTTCAACTTTGAACCATTTGAAACATCTCATCTGCATGCCCCTCAAAAATCTTTTTCAGCTTTTTTCATCAAAATCAAATCTTAACTTGATAAAACTTTCAGGAATGTTAGAAAATAGTGTTTTTGATATTTTAAAATCAATTTGAGTTTTTGGCATGGACTTAGACCATTTTTATTTGAAATGTCATCATTTTCCATTTTCAATGAGATGTAAATGACTTTAAATACACTATATGCTTAACAAAAAGTATTTGTATTACCTTTTGTGTTAAGCTACTTAAATTACCTTTCCAACGATATATAATATGTCATATATGAGTACAATATCCCTGAATAATGTTGAAAAAACTGAAAATGTACTCAAAATTCGAGGTGTGTGAAGAACCATACTTAACATTTTTGCTCGAAACTTTATAAAATCTCAAGTATATATTATAAATTGGGTACTGTTGGAAAGATAAAAGTACTGGCTATAAGATAAAATCAAATTTTGAGTTGAAAATTTACCCAGGGCACTGCTAGCATATGGGAAACATGTCTAGTTTGACCAGCCCTATCAGATACAGAAAAAATAAAAATTTCATTTTTTCTCATGTTTTCTAGAGCATGAGAGGTGCATGCAGATGAGATATTTCAAATGGTTCAAAGTTGAAAATTTGCCGAAACTTTTTTCCAGGTTTTCACAGTTTTAAAAAGATACAAGTGAGGGCTATATAAAACAGTCAAAACTTGTCTCTCCACTCACTTGGAATATGCAGTTATAGTCAATTGAAGTCAAAACATAGTAAAAAGCCGTATATTTTTTGAAAAAATCTCAATTTTTTGATGCATAAAAATAATTTTAAACCTTGAAAGGGATATTTTTTTGTAGATCTAGTAAAGAGCTACAAATTTATGAAAAATAAAAACATTCAAGTGCATCAGAAATCAACATACTCAAAAAAAGTGTCATCAAAATACATTTCGGGCTATATCTCCAGCACTGCTGCTTTTTGGGCCAAAATTAAAATAGATTCTGATTCCTTGGATAAAGACCTTTCAAATAAGCCAATAAAATAATTTTTGGAAAAAAATCGATTTTATCCCATAGTGCAGTGCTTGAATTCGAACACTATGAAATTATCGAATTGTCATCATTTGGGACCTGCTTATAGACAATATTGGGTATTTAACTTAAATACGAGACAAATTTTTCAACCTCAGAAGAATAAGTGCTTGTCAGGAAGTAGTACAAATGATACAATTTCTTTAGACGACTTTGATATAAACTTATTTAATCAGAGATGGAGATAGGGGTATGAAAATGTCACGGCACTAGAAAATTAGAATACAACAGGAATAATATATTGATTCATAAAGGAACAGTGTTAAATCTTATGGTAACAACTTTTTATTATTGGTTCACAAGAATAAATTTTATATACATTTATTAATTAAATTAAACTTTACAATCGATTCTGTGTCGTCCATAATTTTGCATACAATCCATTAACTTTCAAAAGTTCATCATGCGTTCCACGTTCGCCAATTCGTTTACCATCTAGTACGATAATTTCATCTGCATCCATAACAGTTGATAAACGATGTGCAATGCAAATACTTGTTCTTCCTTCCGTTGCACGAGAAAGTGCATTCAGAATATTCTGTGATTAATTTACAAATTAAGATAATTGAAAAATTTAGTGGAATTCATTCAGTTCATACCGTTTCTGTTATTGAATCCAAACTGCTCGTCGCTTCATCGAATATTAAAATTGGCGAGTTCTTCAGAATTGCACGTGCAATTGCCACCTGTTTGAGTCAAATAAATAATATGTTAAGTTAACAGTCATTCCAGAATTAAAGCATTAACTTACCCTTTGCTTTTCACCCCCACTCAATTTTAATCCTCTTTCACCAACTTGAGTTTCGTATTGGTTTGGCCATTTCATAATATTATCATGTAGATCTGCCATTGCTGCAGCATGCTTCATCTCACTTTCTGTCTTATTTAAATCACCGTATTGAATATTATGTCTAATTGTATCATGAAATAGAACGGAATCTTGTGGAACAATTGCAATTGATTTTCGTAAACTGCTCATATCGACATCCTTGATATTTTGACCGGCAATAAAAATGTCACCATTTGATGGCTCAAAGAATCTAAATAAAAGTCGAACCATTGTTGATTTTCCTGAACCAGAACCACCAACAAATCCAATCTTCTTACCAGCAGGTATCACAAAATTCAAATCTTCGAAAATCGTCTTTCCATTTTCATACTGGAATGATACATTCCTAAACTCAATCTGAGCATTATCACGATTTACTAAAAGTGGAACAGCATCAACTCTGTTCTGCACACGACTTTCTACACCTAAAAGTGTAAACATTGATCTCATGTCTATTAGTGCTTGACGAACTTCACGATAAACACTTCCAAGGAAATTTAAAGGAATTGAAAGTTGGAATAATAATCCATTGACCATAACAAGATCACCAACTGTTAAAGTTCCTTGTGTAATATCTTGTGCTGCCATAAGCATAATTGCACTTAAAGCAACACTAAAAATGGCATTTTGACCAAAATTCAATAAAGCCAAGCTAGTGCTTGTCTTTAAGCTCGCATCTTCATATATCTTAAGGACTTTATCATATCGATTTGCTTCGTAATGTTCATTATTGAAATACTTGACAGTTTCATAGTTAATCAGTGAATCGACTGCCTTATTTCCAGCTTCATTCTCAGCTTTATTCATGTAAATTCTAAACTTTGTTCTCCATTGTGTAACACCTAGTGTATAAGCAGCATAAATTCCCACACATCCCATTGAAATTCCAGCATAAGCCAATCCACATTTCGTACCCAAAATCGTCGACACTAATGCAAGTTCAAATATTGTAGGAACGATATTAAAGACCATTGCGTTGAGGACGAAGTTAATGCCACGAGAACCACGATCGATGGTTTTTGAGAGAGCTCCAGTCTGCTTATTGAGATGAAAAGCCATATCGAGATTATGAAGATGTATAAAAGTATTAACAGCAATTTTTCTTATAGAATGTGAAGCTACACGTGCAAAAACTGCATTTCTTAATTCATTAAAACCCGCAGCACCAGCTCTGGCTATGCCATAACCAATAAGCATCGAACTTATTACTGCCGCTGTTGTTTGAGTCGGTGTTCCCATTTGAAAGACATTTAGATAATCAATTGCTCCTTTAAACAGAAATGGCACACAGACGTTCAAAAGTTTTGCGCCGCCTAAAAGACTCAGCGATAAGATGACTCTATGAATTAAAAGATGGGATTTTTTGAACAAGAATGAACGTGCATATTATTTGTGACAATTTAAGGTTGAATTTATAGAACTTAAATTATGACTCTTACCTCTTCCGGATGAATTCATCGTCTTTGGGCCAAATATACGCCATCATTGCCTTCATCATTTGACGTGATGTGACTTGTTGTCCATTGATGTCCCCTAAAGAGTCATGTCCAAATGAAGATGCACCTGGATGAAAACATGTTCGAATTTGTTGTTCTTGAGGCCAATTTCCTTAATTTTCATTAAATTTATTGAGTTTTGCCACAATTGTGGCCAATTTTTGAAGGGTATAGTTGGTTATTTTTTTTGAGTAGATTCCCCAAATATTATTTTGTTTATATATTTACAAACCCAAGAATTTTAATTATTTGTTTTTGAATTAGAGGGAAGAGAAAGAGAGATTTGATGATAATCATTAATCTGTTTTAATAATATCATACCAAGTTTTACAAGCAAATCTAAAGCTACCTGAAGAATGAGAAGATGTTTAACATAATTATTGAATGTAAGGATCGATTAATTGGTACCGAATTTTGTGATCAAATTAATTCCTGTCATACAAGGTGATAATTTGAAATGAAAAAATTGTCTTAGTGACATACATAAAATGCTATAAGGTACGCAACTGAATGTACAGTATTAATGTGTAACAGAATGGATAGGAGATTAATTACAAAACTGATTTTATAATGGACATAATTCATTAATAGTTTTCAAGTTAAGCTACACAGATTTTAAAGTTCTGCATTAGAAAGACATGACAAACTCGTTTGTATTAATTATTGTTTGCATTAACAACCAAACAATGAATGGATATGCTCTTTTTGTACTTTAGATATTTAGTCTGAGTAAATTTGTCAAACAGAACTTGAAAGTTTGTTACGGACTCTCATCTCTCTTTTTTGTTTATTTAATTTCCGATAAAAACTTCCTGTTATCACATTCTTTTTGGTCCTTTTAATTTATGAAAAATTGTAACAAAATGTAACATGGGGGGGGGGGGGTGAAGAAGAATGTAACGTTCTAACTGTCGTCTGTCTTTTAAAAAAAAGTTCACGAAAAAAATTTGAATTATTAACGTTCAAGGGGGGGGGGGGGGGGGGGGTTGCGAGTTGTAACATGTTGTAACAAGGGGGGGAGGGGAGGGTGAAAAAAGTCGGTTTTTTGCGTAACGTAATAAGTGAACGGCCCAAATGATAAACTACTTTGAGGTAAAATATATTATGTTAAGCATTCATGACTGTGACCTTTTTTATATCGCAATAATTTAACCCTTTTCTTTCATTCTTATCTTTCTTTCAATTCCCTCATCATGCAGCATCAATTGATGACTAGCTGAGAATAATGGAAGAGGCTTCCAGTGGAAAATTTCTCAATCTTTTTAACTGGAATGGAGATTTAACGAGAGAAGTGAATGGAAGCTGAACTATTAAGGATGTAAAAGCTTGCCTACACAATTGTCGACATGATGTGAGCATAACCCATTATGTGGCTCGTTTGAAGATATGATGCATTTCTTTTTTTATGGAATTTTCCTAAGCACAATGTTCATTATCGTATGTGCGTAAATTATAAATCATCATCGATTTGCTAGCTCGCAAAAATATATTTCATTCAACCTTTTGAAGTAATTCTAAGTTCTTTCAACTTCGGATCATAACAATTTTTATTTTTGGGAGCTCACAAAAGAGGCTTTATATCTTCAATTTCATGCGAAAATGAAAGTAAAATATGAACAGTAAGTGGAAGAAATTCTAAATTAATTATGTGAGATGCATAAGGATACAATTCTAGATTAAAAGGAATACACGTGTCGAGCATAACAAACAAGTCATGCGAATATTTATTTTCATTTGTTTGTCTTCATACTCAATGTGTGCGTTATGTTTGAACATTTTATTGCGTTATTGTATGCTTACCTGACTTTTTGACTTTCTTTACAAAAATATTTCCCAGGATATTTGTTCCGAGAGATGATTTATCATGTAACACATTGTGTTTGTTGGCTTGCTGTGCTGCTCCACTTTTGTTATCGACCGAATGAACTTTTGTAGATGCTGCCTGTGAATTGAAAAAGTTTAAGATGAGGAAAATTCACATGAGAATTTAAATAAGAAAATTTAATAATTTTTCCTGAAATAAGGAAGTGAGATAACATCACGAAAGGTAGTTTCAAAAGTTCTATAGCTTTATTGATTTGCATAATGTAAAAAAAACATTCAAAACATTGTTTGGCTCAATTTAGTAAAGTTTTTAAACTTTAATTCACATTTTCAGAGTGAGGGTATCTTAAATCTCATGACGTTTTGTCCAAAATCTTCTTAATGTAATGTCAAGTAATTAAAATTTTTAAAGAAACTTTAAACTGTCGATAATGTAACGTTTAACTAATTCAATTAACAAAAAAATTTCATTAATACTTAATAATTAAATTCATAAATGCGTTAAAGCTAGTCATCAACCCTGAGTTTAAATTATATTAAGAACCGGAAAAACCATAATAAGGAAACTCAATTTTCCTTACATCAAAGGCCTTCAATAAGATTCAAAACTTTATCTATGAGGTTTTGCGATTCATGAAAATATTCTAAGCACGTTTGGGCACTTTTGCTTAATTCAGCCTGACTTTTCAGTCCGTTGAACATTGTTTCCACATCAACTCTCTTCTTCCTTATGATTTTAACTGCGTGTTCCTTAATGTCATTAAAATTTAATTCATCGCCAAAAGCAATTTGTGTGAGATTATAGATATTATGTTGAAGTAATAGAATGGCAAGCACAGCTTGAAAGTTATGATTTAATCCATCATTCCTATCAATGTACATCTGCTGGTCTAAATTATGGTCTCTAATGAATTTGTATTTATGCTTTGGAATAGGCATTGATCTCAATACAATATGTGATTTGATGTAATTATTAATGTCATCTAATGTGAACTCTAGGAAATCCATTTCATTGTTCGGTAGAATAAATCCGTATTCAATTAATAATTTCGTATTATTGTATGTGCCATAATTAATGAATATCTGCTCATATTTCTTTCTCGAATTTGATGTAAGCAGCATATAAGTGAGCTTAATCTCATCATTCATAATTTTTGTAGAATTATTTTCTATAAATCCTTCCGAATGAGACAATTGACATCTTGTAGCCGCTTTATCAGAGTGATTAAGTAGATCAAGCATGGGTGCCAGTGCCATATTTGGCTCATCAATGAGCAGTTCTTTGAAAAATGGATCATGATCAACAAGTGGTAAGAATGAATTTGAATTTATATAAACGCTACGCGAATTGCATGCAAAATAAGCAAATTTGAATATGTCAATAGTGATTTTATCGCTAATAGTGCTGTTCTTATTAAGGATATTCATTAAATGCTGATAATTTGCCTTTATAGATTCATTCTGTTCAACAACTTTCTCGAGTATGTAATTTGGTAAATGATAAAGTTCCGATTTTTTACAAAAATAAGGTATTGAAAAATCTGAAGGCAACGTCTTTATATACTCAATCCACTCTGAATTATCAGCCAGTGAAATTTGATACGACAGATAAAATGCTAATAATGCTTGAAAAGAGACGATTCCTTTCAAATTGCTTAGTTCCTCTTCATTGAATAAATCAATAAACTCATTATCTGATTCTATTGTGAAGTATGAGACTAGACATTTGAATGGCAGCTCTATTATCATGTCATTTTCATTGATTTCTTTCTTAGCATAAAGTCCTCGTCCAGTCATTGAAAATGCTGATACAGTAAGTCCATTTTCATTCTTCCAACCACGATTTGAGAGGAATTTTATCAAGTCATGATGAACTTGAGAATCAGGTAATTGACTCATATTTTGTTCGCGTTTTCGCAAACACCGATAACGCTTCGTTCGACCCATTTTTTATTTGTGACTGTATACAAATCACAAATGTATAGAAAATATTCAAGGACACAGAGTTTCACTTCTTATTCTTAAGACTGATGTCAAGCTACTTATCGTCTCTGGATTTCTGGATGTAACAAAAAATGTCTAATGTTGATAAATTAGTTCTGAAAAATGGAAAATTATGGATCAGCTAATTGAAAGAAATCCAGAGACGTAAAATAGCATAGATGAAATAAGTTTAATCTCATACTTACTCTCGCAAGGTTATATTGATAACAATTTTTGATGATCTGATGTTGGTTCCTATGCAAATATGACGATTTTACCAGTGTATTATGTAAAATTATTCTTTGACATCCAAAAACTTTGATATAGTTCAAAATTGCCATCGTTTCATGCTTGTTTCACTAATAAATTTATGTCACTAATGATTTCGATGCTCTACAGATAACGTTTACTCGGTTATTATCGATAATTAAGTGTTTTAAGCACGTTAAAATGATAAAAATGAATTAAATTAATCTCAATTTATTTCTCTCTCAAAACTCGGGGCACAAAACTACGAAGATTGCAAATATTTTCGCGGGATTCTTTAATTTATAAAAATCTCAAAAACTACTTTTGTAAACATACTTAAGCTAAGCTATAATGATAAGTATATATTGATATTAGCAGATTAACTCATAAATGAAGCATGACAATGTACAGAAAATGAGATACTTAATAAATAGTTTAAACACGTTGACTGTTATTACAGTTAACTCTCTCAAATACCCCGGCAAACATTAAAACCCCGAATTCAAAAAGGTCGTTAAATCGAAGTTGCTCTTGATTAAAACTTTATAAGAGAGCTTGAGTGAAAAATTTTTAAAATTATTATATTCAAGTGGAACTAAACGTTAGTTTTCTGTGAAAATATTAGATTATCGTTACTAAAGCATTATTAATGTAAGTGAAATCGAAGATTAGTGAAATAAATTGTTGTAAAAGAACAAAAAGTGAAAAATTGTGCAACATTTTCATCAACATTGGCATTTGACATTTTATTAGCTTAAGTATGAATTTGTACGAGAAACAAGTTGTCAGAAGTGCTTACGTCATAGTAAAATATGGAAAAATATGTGATAATCGATTAAAATATGCAAAAATAGACATTTTATTGATTTTTCTGATTTTGCACACATAACCTGAAATCGTTAAGGCATAACTTTTAATGTGCAGTGCTGTTTAATGGTAAAATTGTCTGTGAGTCATAATTCGTGGAATTGAATGATGTCACTAGACGATTCGGTTTTAAATAACTTCATCAAAGTATCGGTTTAAGACAAAAATCTATTAAAGTGAATTATGTGGAACCTTGATCTATATTAATAGAATTAAATCGGAAAAGCGCATGATCTGAGAGAGATCAAGAAATAATTAAGAAAATATTTCAAGGGGTTTAGTTTTTCTACTAGGTCACTTAAATTTTTACCATAATAAATCATACTAGAGACATTCACTTATCAAGTCTTGTGACCTTCTTTTCATAAATTTATAATTATCGATCATAAGAATTCCTGTTTTACATGCACAGCATAATTGCACGGCTTTCCTCAAACTCGCTCTTCGACGCTGAGCAATATATAAGGAACGGATGAGACAGAAAAAAAAAACACAGACGAGCCTCTCATTTCTGACCTATAAATGCAGTCGTACTGTTATCTCTCTCTAATAATATTGTATATAAAGTGATATTACGTCACAGACACACTTCTCACAACTTCTTTCCTTCTCACATTTCTGTTAAAACTTATTGCGTGAAAAAGTATATGAGAGTAACAACAAGAAACTCCCTATAAATTTTTCTGTTTTATGAATGAACGATTTCTCGTGTAGGTTTTTCCATGTTCTATTTGTTCTTCACTTATTTCGATTATAAGCAGGGGATAGATATAAACTGTATACATGATAAGTTGGGTGTATTTCTCAGGATGAAAAAATTCGTCTGAATTATGAAAATATTCGATTGATCTAGAAATAGACTTATGGCAAGTAAAACGTTGCCTTTTATAAAAGCATGATGGATGAATTGAAAGTACCGTTAGCATTTACTTACCACGCAAGCATATGACTTGCCAAAAAATTACTTTTCAAATTTTTGTTTCAAATGAGGCTTAACGCAAGAAGTCTATAAATATATAAAGATACTCTATGCTTAAGAGAAAATAGAAATATAAAAATGTTTGAGTTGACCAATGACATTGAGTCATTTTTCCTTCATCACTTTTATCAATGTCAATGAAAATTTGTGGTTGCATCATGCGACACTCTAAATTGATTTTTATTAAAATCATAAACGCGTCAACTAATCAATTTCATCATTTTTCATGCCTCTTGGCACATATTGTTTGCAGAAATTCCAATTAACTTTATATGAAGTATATTTTCACGTGATAAGATATCGTACTAGTTTATTATTAAGATAAGCGCAGTGCATTTTCTTACCATTCATAATTAAAACTACGTCAATTTGCTCGCCGGATCATATTTGGGGTTTTTTTTTAATATGGGTAGAAACAGATTAGGATATTGGGAGTATTAATCAACTGACTAGATACGTTTTGGCCCAATTTAAAATATTTTATCGAGAGCTATTAATTAGTCAATTGTGTTTAGCATATGATTTTGTTAAATGCTAGATGAGAAGCTTAAGTTACCACATATTTTTTTGACACAAATATTCAGAAAGTTATAAAAAAATCAATAAATCATCTGCACAAAGTGAAAATAATCGAACTCATATGTTCGACCAAAAGTGTGCTAAATTGTGCTTGAAGGTGTGCGCAAAAAATTTGAGTCTAATTATTCTTCGTTGCTAAAAACTGTTTCTATGTGAAATCACCGCTGTACAACGTAGTTCATTGATCTTTTTTGATCTTCCTTTTTCATATTTTTATTTGAAAATAAGAGAATACAATCAAAAGTTCTCACAATAAATAACAGCATACAATAATCGAAACACGAGTAAAGAGACGACACGCGAAAGCACAGCCTTGGACTCTAATGAATAATTTTTTTAATATTCCGATATTTGCCTTTTGTATTTGTCATTTTGCATAACAACTAGTTTAAATGGGTAATCAGATAGCACTTGCTTGTTAATTACCGGCAATTTTTTTATTTATTCTAAAATTTTTATGGTGCTGCTGAGTACTTTGAGTTGTGTGCTAAGCATTTGAAGTGATAATTTTCACAAATTTCTTTATTATGAACTTTGTTGAATAATCTTATTTGGAAATCTAGTTTAAATGTATCCATCTGCGAAAGTTTTTGACACTATAAACTGAATAAAACAGCAAGTAAATAAAACAATGAAATATTAATACAATTATGACTAATATCCGCAGAATTTTCAGTTTAACTTTTTTGTCACATTTTTGGGTAAAACAAGGAATTCATAGTATTCACACTCTTCTTATCAGTAATATACTAGCTTCCGAGAATGGAGAGAAAGTCGATAGGAGTTGCAGAGAGTTATATCAAACATTTTGTGAGAGAATGAGAATCGTGCTCAATGAATTTTATTCCTAAGTCTTCCTTCTCAATGACCTTGAACGTGTAATAAATTAGCAATGTCAAGAAGACAACCTTTTTTTTCTGAAACGCAAAACTTGATCTGGATTCTTCCGGTTCTTATCAAATCAAACTGAAACTTTTATCTGCTAAATCTATGCATATTCGTTACGAGACACTCTTTTTAGTCTTGAGGGTTTGTTTTTATTTCTTAAAACTCTTAATAATTAGAAATAAGAGAACAATTTAAAGTCAAAATAACAACAACAACTATGATTCGTGTGCTCAGTCATAAAAGAAGAACCGAAACACATTTGTGTATAAAAAAAAATATTTTTTTTTTTGTGAGAAAAGAAAATGCGGCAAGTGAGCTAAAAAATATATTTTCTCAAAGCATTTCAGTTCAGTTGACTCACAACAATCGGTGTGGAAGCACCAAAAAAAAAAGAAATAAATCATTTGAGAATATCTTATCAATTTGAGAATAAAAAATCATCACAAAATTTTACTTTCGGTTTTGTTGAATAGTCGAGAATATTTTAAATACGAAAAAGAATTAATTTATTAGAGTTTTAGAATCGAAAGAAAAGTAAAAGTTTTATAATAGAAATTACGCCTTTAAGTAAATTCAGGTTGGTTACATAAGAATAAGAAAAAAAATCGAAGAAATTCACGAAAAAATAAAAAATCTTTAATTGTCAAGGCTGTGAAAAAGTTAAAAATATTTCTTTTAATATTATCTTAAACGTGAGTACAAAAGAAGTGTGTATGCATAATAGTTTTTAATGAAAAATTCAAATAGAAGAGACAATTAATGATAACTAGTTTATAGATATGAACTAAGTGACGTGTAAAACTGAATAAATTCAGGTCAATGATATTTTCCATAAACGTGCAATAATGACATGTGTAATATTAATTGTATGATTATAAAAACAACTTACGTAACATCCCAGAATAATTTTTCACTCTCTGTCTCTCTATTCGCGGCTTCCTCTTTCTCTCACATCGTCACTAATTGTGCGAGATATAAAATAAAATGGTAATTGTGACGATACTTATTAATTTAAATGTGAAAGTAGTCGGGGTAAAGTCCAGATCATAAAAACTTTATTATAATTTTAATGACATGCTTTCGTGACTCATTTGATTCAAACAAGTAAAACATCCAGCACGTGATTCTATCGTCATAGTCTGGAAGTAATATGTGAGACAATAATTTTGAATTTTTTTTTGTTTGAATTTCTTATCAGCATTGCCGTTCGCAAACCTAAACTCGTGGTTATTGTACTAATTTTTCACATATATGAATCTTGTGATTTACCTTAACGAAAAATCTTGTGATGCACATGATAATTGAATTTGGAATTCCGGATAAATAATTCTCAAACAAAATGATGTAATGGAAAACGTGAGGTACAAAAATATCAAAAACATGTGATAAAATTCGCTACGTCGACAATTTTCTTATTATTGAGCTTTTACTGTACGCAGACCTTCTATTTTGTCATGACATTGCGAATAATATTTTCTCTTCATCACTTCTCTTTTTCACTTGTTTTTGTTTTTCTCAAAGACAAGGCAGGTATGAAGAAAAATAATTTGCCTTTTTGAAAATCAATACCTCAATGTGGGATATATATTTACTTCATCTAATTTTAGATGTACATGAAATGATCTTCACAAAAAGAAATTTCAATACACAGTTTATTTATTGCTATTTAGTTGAAGAGAAGAAAATTTCACCGTATGATCATTGTTGTTGTATTTTGGCTTTAATCCAACATTTAAAGCAAAAGTGACTGTTTGTTTCTACATCAACATACATTGCGTTATTGTAATTTCCTTTTTCTATTTTTTCGATGATAATTTGGACGCTGTATCAGCCTTAAGTGATTAAAGCGCAGTTTTTGAGCCATTTTAGATTAATAATCAAGAATACTCGTGTTGAAAATAAACATTATTTACAACCTTTTAATCTTATTAAATTTATTGTATTTCAATAACATTGGAAATTGACAAACATATAAATGTAGCCTACGTATTGCGTTTTTTTTTTGCAAAACGTGAACACATTTGTAGCTTAATATAAAAATTGAAAAGTGAAATTTGGAGAGTTGAACTGAACGCTTATCAAGTCACGAGGCGAAAGTCCCCGTATTGTTTTATTTCTATGAAATATTGCAACTATTACTTATGACTTGTACTGGAAAATATTTTCATGGTCTTTCTATCAATAAGAACTGACGTAGTTTATAAGATTTATAATTCTACAGACACTGTTTCTCAATAGATATTTATCTTGGCAATATTTACTGAACATGTTGCACATTAAGCCTTGAATGTCATAAAACTAAATTGTTTCGCTAATAATTATTATAATTTATTGTAGAGACCCAGATAAAAGATGCATCGTGCTAGGACAGCTTTTAATCTCTTAACGCCGGTAGGTCAACAAAATTTCGGCTCATGGTTGGTGCGTCAGCAGAAATCGAAGGTAAAAGTCAATGACTATTATGTGTATAGTACGCAATACATTCCCTACTTTTTGTCAGATTGCCAAGTCAAAAGATTTTTCACGTGAATTATTTTAACAATTCTTTCACTATCCTTATTTTTAGATCGCAAATGATTTTATTGCTGCGTCAGCTGTTAAAACATACAACTCAGCCGCTGCAGAGCCTTTCCTTAATGGATCAAGTACAGCATATGTTGAGGAAATGTATAATGCATGGCTTGCTGATCCATCATCTGTTCATGCTGTAAGATATTAATCCGTGGGATATCCTCGAAATATTTAACAATCATTTGCTCTTCTTTCAAGTCATGGGATGCTTATTTCCGTAACAATTCATACTCAGCTCCACCGTCACTCGCTCCACCACCGAAAAATCATGTTCCTATTTCACAATTTGCAGGAGCTGGCTCAGCTCTCGCCCCATCTGGATATGCTGGTCCACCCATGGCTGGATATCAAGTCGATGACAAATTAGTAGATGATCATTTAGCTGTTCAAGCTATTATCAGAAGTTATCAGGTAAAAAGTCATGAATGTGAATTAAATGGATGAATGGATTTACGTTATAAAACAAATATTTTGAAAGCATTAATAGGTTTATAAGTAAAAATGAGTATATGGAGGAAAAGAAAATTGGAATGATTATCCATAAGTGCATGAATTTAGTTTCTAACTAGAATTATCTGCTCTTTTCTACTCCAATAACTTAATAAGATCCGTCTACGTTCTATAAAACTTTCTCGTCTAGCCTCATTATTTGTTCATTGTTAGGAATCGTTTCAGGGCTAGTAAGTTGATGATATTTAACAAACATCAACTGCTAATTCTGAAACTGTCAAATCAAGTCTCAATATGTTATTTGGCTAAAATAAAAATTTTCTCTAAAAAGACTTCATGTAGCATCAATTGTCCCATGAAGTTTTTTCGCGATTTAAAATTAACAAAAATTATTTTTTGGTACTAAAGATAGTTTTTATGTATCCGTTGTTTTATAATTTTATTAACCAATGAAAAAAGTTGATAAAAAATTTATTAACACATCACAAAAAAAAATAATCGATAATTAAATCAAATTGTTTGTAACAACCTTAATTTGTAGTCTCGTGGTCACTTGATGGCTGACTATGATCCATTGGGTATCATTAATTCAGAAACCCAAATAGGTCCTGATGGCGTCACACGTAGAGCTAACGAAAAAGTTACTCGCAACTATATGTTATTTGGTAAATATTTAACCTTGTCACAGACACACAAAAAAAATCTTTTCATTTGCGAAATCTTCCAAAATTTTGAGTGACATTGACATGCACTTTTGCATTGTCTGTCAAAAAATTGAAGATAATTGATATTGAGATTCGGAGACAAATTACATTGAATTATTTTGTACATGAAATTTACACCTACACAGTATCAAACTTTATTTTTATTTGACACCTTTTATGATTTCAAATTTATTAGTTGAATCGAGACATTCTAGAAATTATCATCACCATCATGAAAAACTTTACTTCTGCCCTTCTTCTTTCTTATATCTTTTTCTTTGCATCCATATAAAAATTAGTCTCAAGTTTCACAACTGAAGCTTGCCGAGCTTCAAGTTAATCATTATGTTATTCATGCTTATAACTTTTTATGATATTTAACTTTAATTAAAATGGTTTTAACACACTGTGTGTTATGTAACAAGTATGTGAGTGATCAATATAATGTTTGCAGAAACAATTTTGGTAGTATTGCAGCACTAATAAGCCTATGGTTGAATTTGGGATTAATAACTAATGTGTATGATACATTTCTAACATTTGTGGAGGGTTAGATTTAAGGTTTATTTTAATGGAAAGTTTTTGAAAACATATAACAGAGAAAAAGCTTTCAAATAAGTGTGATATAATTTAAATTTAAAAAAATAAACCTAAACAAAGAAGATAAAAATGAGAAATTACGAAACCAAACATGTCATTTAGATACGAGGTCATCACATTGCAAAATTAGATCCTTTGGGAATCGCAAGTGCTGATTTGGATAACAAAACACCACCGGAACTTTTGTACACACATTATCGCTTCGGTGAGTAAAATGTTGACGATTATTAAAAACTCAGAGAGTTTTGTCTCAGACACAATTATGGTGTATAAATGAGTTTAGTTAAGACTGAAAAATGCTACAAAAAATTTATAAATATTGGTATTCTTACACATACATACACATTAATCTCATTGGAAAAATATTCAATTTAAAGTTGATCAAAATCTATCGGACAAGTAACATCAAAATTTTACAGATTTAGTTTTTAGGGTTGTCAAAAGCACATTTTTGCCACAGTTGATCTTTATGTAAGTCATCTATCGACGCAATTATTAGCGATGGAAATAAATTTTATATTAAATGTTAATTTTTCCGAATCCTTGAATCGTCGACTTATTTACTTTTTGATTAAAATTAACTACAAAGTGAATTTTATTTTAATGAAAAGCTTTGAATAGCTTTTTGAAATTTGGCTTTAAAGGCTTATTGTGCTTGAGTTGGTAATTCTGAGTGAGTTGTGGCAAAAATGAGCTTCAAATTGCATGCTTACTTCTCCTTGAACAATATAATAATTTGAATCTTTTTTATTATCCCCAATATTTTCTTTTCTTTTGTTCTCTTTATTATTGCTGTAATGATTTTGACTATCCTTATAAAATCTAAATTCATAAATATAATAAAAATAAATAAAATCTAATAGATGAGAAAAAGATTGGTTATGCTATAAATCATGCAGAATTAATGGGAATTGATTGCTTAAGTAAGGAATTACAAACAAAAAAATCTATGTTGATTGACAAAAGAATCCTAAAATAATTAGGCTTGTAATTTCCGTCCAGATTCACATTTTGTAAATAATTATATTCAATTGCACATCATTTTTGTAAATATAAATCATCAATAATTGGTTTTATACATGTATAGTTTTTTTTTGTTTCCTCGGCATTTAGCTTTAGATGTAGCTTAGTTTATGACTTTATTTGACAATTTACATGAACAAATAAGTCGTAGAAAACACCTTATTTTTGATGTTTTTATATTTTTCGCATTTTATACATTATTACTTCATTAAGATTATTTCTCATTTATAAAATCATGATGGTCATTATTTATGTGAAACTTTCACGGTAAAAAGGGATGAATCTCATTAAATGTCAAATATTTTCACATTATCCACTTCAAATCATACATTTTTAGAGGTTCCATAACTGGTTCTTTCGAATTTCATTGCATTTTAAGGCATGCGTTTTATGAAAGTATTGAATTAATAATCCTCGAATATGAGATGGGTGCATGCAAAATTAGGCTCAATGTGCTGACTTGACTTATAAAATTGGCAAATTTAAAAGTAATTTATTTTGATCAAAATTTTTGCAGAATCCGAATCGTTTGGAACCTCTATCTATGCTCCGAGTTTCAAAATTATAAACGTTTGTTTATGTCTCATTAAAGTCTATTTTTCTATCCACACAAATGTACAACTTTTTGTACCCTTATTTTACCTCTTTCATGTACATCTTAAATAATTTTCTATCATACATGCCTTTGTACATAATTTTCAAGCACACAAAATCTAATGACATTATTTTTCGACTAATATAGGCGAACATGATATGGACAGAGTATTTAAACTTCCAAGTACAACATTTATTGGCGGCAAAGACAAGTTCCTCCCATTACGTGAAATCTTAAATCGTCTCGAAAATGCTTATTGTAATAAGATTGGCGTTGAGTTCATGTTTATCAATTCGTTGGAACAATGTAATTGGATTCGTGAGAAATTCGAATCACCAAATGCCATCAACTATTCAAATGACGAGAAAAGATTAATTTTAGCTCGTTTAACACGTGCAACTGGGTACGTATGAAGGCACTACATAATTGCTCAGTGATTTTCTTAAATTTTATTTTGTTGAATTTGTAGTTTTGAAGCCTTTTTGGCAAAGAAATTCTCATCTGAAAAACGTTTTGGTCTTGAGGGTTGTGAAATTATGATTCCAGCAATGAAGGAAGTCATTGATACATCAACACGTTTGGGAGTTGAATCTATTATTATGGGAATGCCACATCGTGGTCGTTTGAATGTTCTTGCCAACGTTTGTCGTAAACCATTGCATCAAATTTTCACACAATTTGCCGGTTTGGAGGCTGCTGACGATGTGAGTAATATTTTGTTATCTTGTCATTACGTATAAGAATCGGATGATACTTGATACAATATTTTTATCGTCAATTTATCACTGGATACTTAATGTCTTGATAAACATGTCAAAATGTATTTTTAGGGATCTGGTGATGTCAAATATCACTTGGGAACATACATTGAACGTCTCAATCGTGTCACAAACAAGAACATTCGATTGGCTGTCGTTGCAAATCCATCACATTTAGAGGCTTGTGATCCAGTTGTACAAGGAAAGACAAGAGCTGAACAGTTTTATCGCGGTGATGGTGAAGGAAAGAAAGTCATGTCTATTATGCTTCACGGTGATGCTGCTTTCTGTGGTCAAGGTGTTGTTTTTGAGACTATGCACTTGTCAGATTTGCCCGATTATACAACACACGGAACAATTCACATTGTCGTTAATAATCAAATTGGTTTCACAACTGATCCTCGTCATTCACGTTCATCACCTTATTGTACTGACGTTGCTCGCGTTGTAAATGCTCCTATTTTCCACGTTAATTCCGATGATCCAGAGAGTGTGATGCATGTTTGTCGTGTTGCTGCTGAATGGCGTGCTACTTTCCACAAAGATGTTATTATTGATATCGTCAGTTATCGTCGCAATGGACACAATGAAATTGATGAACCTATGTTTACACAAGTGAGAAAACTTTGGATTTTATTAGATTAAGTTTTTATAAATTAATTTGTTTTTCATTACTTTTAGCCACTTATGTACAAACGTGTTCGACAAACCAAGCCAGTTTTGGATCTTTATGCAAATAAATTGATTGAAGAAGGATGTGTTACATCTGAGGAAGTAAAGAGTGTTCGCGAAAAGTACGACAAGATCTGTGAAGATGCTTTAGAGCAAGCAAAGACAGAAACACACATTAAATATAAGGATTGGTTAGATTCTCCATGGTCAGGTTTCTTCGAAGGCAAAGATCCATTGAAGATTAGTGCTACTGGAGTTCCAGAAGAGACTTTAATCCATATCGGAAATAGATTCTCACAACCACCTCCAAATGCAGCTGAATTTATCATCCACAAAGGTTTATTGCGTGTCTTGGCTGCACGTAAAGATATGGTTGATACTCGTATTGCTGATTGGGCTTTGGCAGAAGCAATGGCAATGGGTTCATTAATGCGTGAAGGAATTCACGTCAGATTATCTGGTCAAGATGTTGAACGTGGAACATTCTCACATCGTCATCACGTACTCCATCATCAAGAAGTCGATAAGGCTACATACAGACCATTATGTCATCTTTATCCAGATCAAGCTCCATATACAGTTTGCAATAGTTCCTTATCAGAATACGGTGTTCTTGGCTTTGAATTGGGATACAGTATGACAAATCCAAATGCTCTTGTCTGTTGGGAAGCTCAATTTGGTGATTTCTTCAACACAGCTCAATGTATTATTGATCAATTTATTAGCTCTGGTCAAGCTAAATGGGTACGTCAAAGTGGATTAGTTATGTTACTCCCCCATGGAATGGAAGGTATGGGACCTGAACATTCATCAGCCCGTTTAGAACGTTTCCTTCAAATGTCAGCTGACGATCCCGATTATTTCCCACCAGAAAGCGAAGAATTCGCTATTAGACAACTTCACGATATTAACTGGATCGTTGCTAACTGCTCAACGCCTGGCAATTATTTCCACATTCTTAGACGACAAATTGCCATCCCATTCAGAAAACCATTGATTTTGATGACTCCAAAGAGTTTATTGAGACATCCAGAATGTAAGAGCAGCTTCTCTGAGATGGTTGAAGGCACCGAATTCCAACGGTTTGTTAATTTTTCCTTATCTGTTATTTAAAGTACTAATTGTGTTTGTAATTATAGTGTCATTCCTGATCGTGGACCAGCATCTGAAAATCCAAGTGGAGTCAAACGTATAATCTTCTGTACTGGACGTGTGTATTATGATTTAATTAAAGCTCGTCGTGATAAGGGTCTCGAAGGTGAAATTGCTATCTCAACAGTTGAACAAGTAAGATTCACATTGAATGTTTTGATTAGCAATTAAATGATAATCTTATTGTATTTTTTTTGCAGATCTCACCCTTCCCATATGACTTAGTGAAGAATGAATGTTTCAAATATGCAAACGCTGAAATTGTGTGGGCACAAGAAGAGCATAAGAATCAAGGTGCATGGAACTACGTTTTACCTCGCTTTGAGACAGCATTGAACTCGAGTCGTGACACACGGTAAGAAAAGTTTTCATCATCATTGCATCCTTCTTTATATGTTTCTTTCGGACATTTTAATGTAGTTTAATTACTGATCTGCGTTATCCTGGTGTTGAATCGAATTTGAAACCCCCAAAATCTTTCTTTGGTTGTTAGTACCCCCTGATTCTGATAAAATGGTGTATTACTTATTTTGGTAATTGGCATGAAAAATTTTTGGAGAGGAATTATTTATAAGAACTCAATTGGTGGTTGGAAATTTTATTTTTTAAAAGTAGCTTATTATTTTATCAGAATATATATTTTGATTTTTCCGTAACTCTATTTATACTTTTACACAATGCACAATTCATCCTATGGTTTTGACCCTTCAAATCTTTTTTACACACGAAAAAAATGAAAGATTTGAAAAGTTTTCTAACTTCTATGAAATTTGAAAAAAAAAAATCAAGATCAAAAATTTGTCTCTAATAGTAATAGGATACATACACATTATTTTCATTGCTTTTTATATGTATCAAAGTAGCTAATAATTATAATTTAGAGTGATATTATGTTGGGTAATCAAAAAAGATGATTTATAGAAAAAGTCCCGAAAATCACTTTACCATTACAGCCATAATGTTGCGGATTCAAACACCACAAGCATTCCTTTCAATGAAATTGCTAAAGACAAACAGGATGAGATAAAATCATTAGAAAATGATCAGAAGCGTAATCAGCTGAAAAAGCATAAAGAAAAGTCATTTTGGGCAAGCTGGTTTAGCTTTGGAACGTCATTTTCCGATTCAGATGATTCGGACGATGAGAAGAATAGTAAAAAGAAAATTGATAATAACAAAATTAATGACAATAATTCTTATAACAGGCCGCACGGCCCGAATGTCACCATGAGCACGCGTAAATCGAGTGCCTGTAAATATACCAACTTTAATGCTCCTGACCAGGAAGCTGCGAAATTGCTATCACGCAGAACACCAGTTCGAACTGTTAGGTGAGGGGACAACATAGAAACAAAAAAAAAACTTGAACATATTAATTATTGGACTTACATTTACGTCGACTACTTTTTGTGGGAATGTTTTTTAATTGGATTTTCTATAGTTTTTGCATATGTACAAAGGACTATAACAAACAAGACCAAGCTAAATTTTATTTCTTTTTATTGACTGCTTTTATTACGACTTATTAACTTTATTACACTTTAATTGATATTCATCTTGATTTTCTATGGTTGTGGGCAAAAAGAACAAACTTGTGGTTTTTTATTATTTTTTAAGTTATCGAAATTTCTTGCGCATTTTTGAAAAACAAACATGTTTATGGATTCAATTTGCGCTTGTTGATTTGCTAAAAGATAATTCAGCATTCACACGTGCTAGAAATTCCGAGATAAGTCTAATTGACTAGTTCTTGTTGAACACAAACTGATTGTTACGTCAAAAATGTGTTTCGGAAACTCTTTACTAGTTTATTGATCGTTATTATCATTTATGTTATGAATTGATTGGCATTGTAATTGGCTTACTTAACAAAAAATTTAAATTATTTTACGTCTACCTATTCGTCTATTACTATTGGCACTAATATAAGAAACTCTTCATAGATACGGAAAAACTTACTTATGTGAATAGAAATAAACAAAAAAAAAACAAGATACATTAGTGATGTATGATGTAGAATAGATAAAAAACCTTCCACCATTGCGATGCAATTTCCATTTCATACACTTTCTCTAATAACTCATCATCTTTCATATCATTTGCATTTCCCTCACAATCTTCTTAATATATTTAATGTCTTTTTTTGTCATTGTTTCAATTACTTTGGATGTTTAATTTAAGCTTTTTGTTTTGTGTTTTATGATTACTATTTTATATTATGTTTCTCGCAAATTAACTTTCAAATGTGTTGAAAGTTTTATCATTTTTTTGTATGTCACTGTAAATATTCCATAAGCTCGCTGACTCTTGATAAACTCGCATCATAATCTCGAGAATATTTTTAATAAAAAAAAAAATCTTTTATATCAATTATTTTAGCTATATGGGTCGCCCTTGTGCAGCATCAACTGCAACTGGTTCAAAAGCTCAGCACATGAGAGAGCTTAACAACTTCTTGAATGAAGCCACAACCTTCTAAATAGATGAATTCACTATCTTACTTTAAAACAACTATCTCTCGACAAATTTAACGATGAAAATAATTTTTAATGCGTTCACACCAACCGACTTTTTAGACATCAATGAAAACTTTGTGAGGAACTAATGTCAACTGTAAAGCAAACTTTTAGAGCATCGAATGTGCTTTCATCTTAGATTTTATTATTATTTTTTTATCTCATCATGTCATTTTGATCATCCTAGGAGATTCTTTTTCGAAAAGTTTAAGGAAGAAGCGTCATATGTTGAAGGAATTGACTGAAAAACAAAACATATATTAGATTTTTATGTCATTTAATCAAACTATCTTAAGATTTTGTGATAAATAACATATTCTGATCACTCGTGAGCAATTTGATCTGCATTTGCAGAATTTTAGCTACAAGAGTAAAGTCAGAGATATTCGAGCGAAAATAACGATCGATTTGAGGCAGTTCCAACAACATTTGATCTGAATCCTTAAAGAAAAAAAAAACCATGAAAAACTAAATTATTCATAACTGATTATTTATTTTAATCTTTAAGTTAAGATCGTAAAAATATTCATTAGACAAAGTTCTTATAAAAATTTATTTCTCTATTTTGTGTTTATCGTTTACTTAAAAACAAACTGATTAATTAAAGCTTGAAATCTTGCTTTTTGATTAGACTTAATTTGACAGACATTTTTCTTGTGAGACATACGTTAAATTGGAATTATGTCTCCTGCTTAGTTTTTTTTTCTTTAGCATTAAAAAACCGAACTTATACAGTGTTGATAATTAATTTAAATTATTACTTCTAATGGAGAAAAAAAATGAAAAAATTAGTTTATAGGCATAAAGACTTGTTATATTTGTAAATCATACGATGCAGGAATCATCAATCAAATTGAATTTAGATTGACGATAAGAAAAACATAAAAAATGGAACATTTCTTTATTCTTTGTAAAAGGAAATAAAATTTATGAAAATAAAAATAAAATGAAAAAACTTATGAATTATTTTCAAAGCTTAGAATAACTTAGTGAAAATTGATCCCGTGACAGAAAATTATATAAAATAATTTATTCAATAGGTCGGTGCTTCTCAAACTAGTTTTGACTCTAATTTGTCTCAGCACATAGTTTGAGAACCACTTTATAATTGTTCGGATGAAATTGATATATTTTTGTCGTGTTGATTAAACTTGATGATTTATTTGTCCCAATTTGGTCTACATCTGTGCGTCTAAGAAAAAATAAAGTCCCTTTTAATTCTATAGTATTTATATCTATTTGTGCAAAGAATATTCACTAAGCCCCACCATACACGTCTTGTAATAATATTAATATTTAAAATATTGAGTTGATTTATTTTGTGTCAAAAAATCATTGTGAAAATCGATCAACATGACAAGAAAATATGATTAAATCTGCATTAGCGAAAAATATGAGAAATTTAATTACCTGTTACACAGCATAGAAAAATTGTCATGCTAAGAAAAATATTAAACCATGTAGGTGCTAAACAAATGTGAAAAAAAACTAGCTCTTAAGCATTTTATCAAAATTTTTACATAAATCATAAACCAGATAATTTATGACCTGAAAAGATGCGAATAAATTGGCAAATACACTAATTTTTGAGATGGTTTTTTTACCCACACAGAACAGTCGAATGAAAAATGCTTTAAGATCGCTATCTGCACCTTACAAGAAAAAAATGTACTTTGTAAATATGAAACTTCTTTATTGCTTAAAAATATTATTATTTTTATCCATATATACATTGAATTGAAAAAAAAAACTTAAGAAAATGAACCTCAACAAATATTTGCACGATCACTTTTTACAAAATTAAGAGAAAGAAATTATAAAAGTAATAAAATTTGATAGAAATTGCTTCATCAACAACAAAAGCGACGCAGCAACAACATTTAAATTTTTTTTGCACCAATTTGTTGAATTTAAAACAAATTTGGACAGATTACAGAAATATTAAATGTTTGACGATGAAATAAAAATGCAAAAAACAACTTAAAATCTGGACTTAACATTAATTAATCTCTAATTTTATAAATTACAGCATCAAGCCTATTCTAGTTTCAAGAGCCGTTAGTGCATCGACAGCAAGTGGTAATAAATTTCAACATACTAAAGAAACAAATGAGCTACTGGAAGCAGCAATGGCTATCGGAACTAAGCCTGATCCACCCAAGACCAATGACGATCAAGGATGTCGGAAAACTTACAAAATTTCATACTGGTCCAAATAATTCGTATTTATATTTTCTGACTTTAAATTTACTCAAATGTGATTAACAAGCATATATTTTTGACAATTTAGCAACTTTAATTCTCCTGTATTCGTTTATTTTTTCTTAAATTTACAATATCACTAATTTGTGTTTAAATGACTTCAATTTCAATTCTCTTATCAACCAATTTTAATATCCACCAGAAAAGTCTTTTCATCAGCTTCATTGCCAAACTTCAAAAACTAACCACTACAACTCAATAACTATTGCAATAAAAGGCAATTGAATCGGATATACAGTCAAAGACATCAAATGCTATATCACACGTTTCAGTTTTATGAGGATATTTACCTCTGTGAACGTGATGCCTAAAAGACACTAACTTTAGACATTTATTGACAGCCCTGAGAGTAAATATGAAATATCTTTGATCATTTGTACCTGCTGTATACAAATCGACTAATCCGTCAAGTGTTGGATATCCGTGCTTGTCTAGTGAATTTGTTTTGTGGAAAATACATTGCATAAGACAACCAGCCAACCATCGATCTTCATGCGACAAGAGAACTGGATGAAGTGGTGGATCTGGTGCTGTTGGAATCACTATTGGTGTTGGTTTTGGATTCCATCTGTTTAAGTTCAACATATCAATCAAACTTCTTCTTTTAATGTCATGTTTCTTTTCAGTACTTTGAGTAGAATTGTATAAAGTTGTTAAATTTTTTTTCAGCTGACTATCAAGGTCTCGTTCAACAACTTTATGACTTGAAAGAATATTCATTAGTTCTTCGTGCGCCTCTATAACTTTTTCCTTCCTAATTTCCAGTGGTCGTTGTGAAATGACTTGTTCTACAACTTCAGGATAAGCAGATTTAAATTGACCCTCTAAATATGCTGAATAAGTCGGATCAACAGCATAATCATGAAAATCAAAAATATTTTTCGATCCATGATGATGAAATGTAAATGGATTGGCAAAATGAGGAACTTCGTGACTGTGTGCATCATGAAAATATTCATATCCGTCCAGATGATGATTCAAGTGATTATGTTGTGGATGATGATGATTTTTTGATCGATATTCTACATGCTTAACTAGTAAATCATGATGATTAGCGTTTTTAAAGTGATTATTATCATTTAATGTGGCATAAACTAAGTCATCAATAATGTTGGACTTTATCTCACTTTGACAAGTTCTTATAAAATAGTCAACTTTTGCTGGAAGCGTTGGAATCGATAAACAATGTGCTTTCTGCAATAAAAACGTATATTAATTATTACTCCAGTTAACTGAACTCATGGGAATACACCCATGTTGCATCATCACATTAAAGAGGAAAGAAAAAAGTCGGAAAAAGTGTTAATTGTGATTTTTACTTTCGTTTGGAAGTGTTTTATGCTGTACGTTATTAAAAATGTTTAATGCGATTTAACAACATACAATTGTTGAGTTTTGTAAGAACTGTAACAACTTATTCGGCTGCCTTAAAATATAGAATGTCGGAATATAGTTATTCTTTGCAACAGCCAGTCAACTATTAATCATGTTAGTGCATAGGAAACAAAAAAAGATTGTAGTTTAAACATTGAATTTTGTCAAATAGTCAACTAACCCCCGATAGCTCAGGCAGTGTTTTGTCATCTTAAAATTTGATTGTTCCTCCTTCATGCTTCAATAAAAAACACACCTAAGTAGTCACCTAATTAAGCAGCACTACTTCAAAAGCTCGATAAGCAAATTAAACAATTCACACATTTTTCACGGATTCTTCAAAACTTCTCAACTTATTTATATTATCTATCAAATTCTTTTACCTTTCCATCACAGCTTCTCCATAATATGCTAATTATAATAATTAATGCAAATTGTCTTGTTTTTACATAACTTATCACACTCCATATCATTATCACAGAATTTTATTAACAAAAACTACTTTTTATATTATGGAAATATAGTCACTCAAGTGCAAGCTTATTTTACCAACTGAAACACATCGATAAACATCAAATGCTTTTATAGACTGAAAACTAAACAAACATTTCACCAAATAAAATAAAATAAACACTGATAAATGCTGAAGACTGGATTTCGGGAGAAGAGAGGCTTTCCTAGTCTTGTAGCTTCAGAAAACAAGTTTTTGCAACATGTAAAAAAGTTCATAAAGTGATAATGATGTTAAAAGATAAGGTGATGATGACTCGAGACGATATAAAAAGATTTATCAATTAAGTTTCAACTTCCGTCCAAAAAATGACGCCTCATCATCATTTCAAGCCAATTATGCTGCATTAAAAAAAAAAATGTAAATTGTGGCAATTTATAGATGATTGCTGTTGCTACTGTATGAAAATAACTTGATGGTGAGAAGATTATGAGCATATTATGGTTATAGGATGAGCTTGACGTCTTTTAATTTACCATCTGCTTCCTCTTTGAATGTTATTTATCCGAGAGATTGAAATATTCTTTTTTAAATTAAGCATAGATAATTTTATTGATTTGCTGGGCTTAAACTGAAACGGAAGCTGTGTGCTGTGGTATTTTGACCATCGTATATACTTAACTTTGTTACAAACTTTACACTCAACATTTTTTTTGCAAGGAGTCGAAGTTAAAATCCACATATGACCTTTTTACATTGAACAGAAAGACAATAGACAGTTGAAGAGTATCATTCAGCCATTCATCATACGAATTCACAATTTCCGACTTTGGAGAATCAATGAATGGAAAAATGGTTTACAATAAGCATAATTCTTTTTATTTTCGAGTAAAAAAAATTGTGATAGAATTTTAGATTGATTTTATCAACACCTTTTTGTGCAGAGCTATCCACGTGGAAAAACATGAATTTGTCTTTAAAACATTCACAATTTTCATATGTTGTACAGAAATTGCTGTTTATTATGAATCTTATTACAATAAGAAGGAAATGTGTACAAAAAAACATAGAAGACTTTTCGTCCATTGACTTATAAGCATGCAGAGATATGATGTTTACCAAAATTTATTCTCCATTTGTCTGTATTTGTAATTATTATCAGGGTATGGACTACTTAATTTTGATTCCTGAGTCAGTTTCTTTTTATTCACGAGGAATTTACACATTTATGCTCCAAAACTACTTTAGTGTTGCTTAATTAAGAAAGCAAAAGTGCCTTGATAGCTTAGTTGGCAAGGTATAGATCACAAAAATTGGTGTTGAATTTGGACTCCCGGGTTCAAATCCCACCACCAGCCTAGTGATTTTTCACAAGTTTAGATATTTCGGCTTCTTGTGTGCTGCAGTTTAAGACGTAAAACTAAGAATTATGCGATATGAGATGTAGCAATGGGTCAAGAATTGCGAGACAGAATGAGAAAGATACGAGAGACGTAAACCCACCATGGAGGGCTTTTACTGGAACGGACCTGCAGACATTGTGACCCACTAAAAATTGGAACGAGAGTCGATATGAACACATGTTCTATGATCTGAAACAGTTTTAAATTGGCTGCTGGGCACAACAACTGCCTTGTGAAAATTATGCGCTATATACTGAGCAACATCTGGAAATTAAGAAGAACCTTCTTTGGTCTAGAGAAAAAGTTGAAATTTCCTAACCTTTGCGGTAGACAATAATTTTGTATGTCATCTCCGAGTAATTTATCAAACAATAACAGCTTGACTCAGTTCATATAAAAATTATCAATTTGGAAAGGTCCCGTTTGAAAGAAATCTTTCACTATTTACTCATCTTCGAACTCTTCAAACCTGTTTTGAACAAAAAAATTAGCATTTTACACCAAATTATTTGTATAAAAATGAGAGAAATTCAAGAATGTTCTTTAGTTCGTCAACAACTTAAGAAAGCTGAAGATGAATCCAGAATTTGTTTTTATTGTAAGTTATCATTTAAGTCTGAAACATTGAATTAATTGTCCGAATTTAAAAAACTAGATTTTGCTGGCATTTACCTCACAAGTTATTGCAAAGAATGTAGATCAAGTGCACAAATGCAAGCCTGATATTTGTGGACCGAATGCAAAGTGCATAGATAATGAAGATGATAAAGTATATAACAAGTTAAAGCAACCATATTGTCTTTGTGAGCCCAAGACTATTGGAAAACCACCAAATTGTATGATAGGATGCCTCAAAAATAGTGACTGCAATGGAGATGAATTTTGTGATGTGGATAATAAAATGTGCAAGAAAGTCTGTGAACATTCCTGTAATTCAACCGAGACTTGTCATGATTCTAAGAAATTGTGCATTGGAAAGTGTCGCGATCATGACGATTGTAAATTAAACGAAATTTGTGACATCGGTCATAGCTGTGTAGCTGGTTGTAGAAGTGATAATTCCTGCAAAGATAACGAATATTGTAATGATGACTTGAAATGCATTAATGTTTGTGCTAAAGCAAATTGTGGTGAAAACTCTGTTTGCAATGGCTACAACCACATTCAACATTGTGCATGTGAAGAAGGCTATATTCCCGAAAAAGGAGTTGGATGTAAACAAAAGGAACCTAGTCATTCTTTTGTTGAATTGGATGAATTAGAATGTCATAATTTTTGCGGAGATTATGCTTCATGCATTGTTGAAGATGATATAATTCATTGCTATTGTCCAAAGGACTTAAGAAGCAATCCTATTGTAGCATGTCCTCCTCCACTTTTGTTTGGCACATCTAAACCAGAATATTGTGAATGCTGCGAGCAAGCAATTGATCCTGATTGTGCGGTTCCAATATCATGTGCATTGGATGCAGACTGTGTTGTTGAAGAATCATTGCTACCATAAAATGAAGAATATTTTTATTTCATTGTAATTCAACTAATGTTTTAATAAAAATTGTTTCAAAATAGCTAATGTGTTTAAATAGTTAAATATTTCAGTGAACTTTATTCATGAGCATCAAATCGACCACAAACGATGAGAAATAATTAAAAGTTTAATGAACAAGCGTCAAATCTTCAATAAAAGTATAATTTTCCATATTTTGTCGCATTAATCTTAAGCATTGCTTAATTTGTTGCAATCTTTTGGTCATCAAAACTATGATTCTCATTTTCAAAACCCACCGATGCTCAACAGTGCAAATAATTTAATTAACAAAAATCTTAATTACGTCTACAGTAGATGTAAAAATCTGAGAAAACGTAGCTGAATTTGCGTGAGGGGAGAAGCAGAAACAAGAAAAATTGAGAGAATCTTTTGGAAGTTATAAAAACAATGGGTTGTAATGAGATCTGATTCAGTCATTATTAAGGTGTAGCGAAGTAAAACAGTTAGAAATTTAGCAGATACTCAAGAAAAATTGTTTATTTTTTGAAGATATAAAAATACATGTCAAGGATACAAGGATTTAAAGGATATAAAACAAAAGTGATTTAACTCTGTAGACAATTAAAAAAATAATAAAAATTTAAAAGTGATTTAATTTATCAAATAGAAGTGAAATAAATATTAAATAGAAATGAAAGTGAGAGACATTACAGTTCTCATAATTCTTCTTCAATTACACATCCAATCTATCAAATGTGATGATTCAAAGAAAAATTATCAAAGTTATCCAGTAAACAACGTTAATACTGATGGGACGTTCCACTTTGGGTGCGTAATAAGTTTAATTAAACACTCAAAAAGGGTCAAAACCGTGAGAATTTTCTCAATGCACTTCGTGTCAGCGTCACAAGAGAATACAGCGTAGGAAAATTTACACCCAAAATTAAATTATACGTTGATCTTTATGATTCAGAATTCATTAGCTTTGACCGTGACAGCTTATTATTATATTCAGATGCGACAGATTATGCAACATAACTCATGTATTTATGAGAAGCCGCTCAAACAAAATTTAATTAATTAATTAATGAGAAAAAAAGACGAATTAGTATTTCTTGCATAAATTCCCTTGCTAAGTGCTTCTATTCATTCATTCACAATTTTTGTGCATTTTTTGCATTTTCTCTACACACATATTTATCATGTGTGAATGATTGTGAGAATTTTCTCCCTTAATTAATTATGAATCACTAATTCCATTCATTCAAAATATTCACCGGAGGAATTTCAATATTTTGTTCCTGATTGAATTTTTCAGACAACTTAATTATGATGAATGCAATTTCCGGTGAAAACTAATTTATAGACTTTTTTTTTGAAAACTACAACTGTGAAGTCAAAAGGATATTAAATATTTAATCTCATTTCCGAATTCAAATAAATCTTTAAATGACTCTATTGTTTATTTTAATTCATCCCAAAAAACAGTTATGATAATAAAGATCAAGGTGGGCACTATCACAAGGCAACAGGGAGTGTCATAAAAGTTCGCGGACGGTATGGTTCGCGAAATGCAGCGACTGGAAAAATCGATGAAACTGTTTACACAGCTGGAGCAAGAGGGTAATTAAAAGCAATTTTATTTCTTTTTGACCTTCCATTCGGTTCCATCTCAAAGATTCATCATAATTGTGGTTTGTCATTAATGTTTCTTCAGTGTGTTATTATGGTGATGATCAGTAACATAATAAAGAAGAACAATGAAAATGGAACTGAATTATTTGACATGTGATGTGAAAAGATTTATTATATTGTTCCTTTATGTTCTTTATAGTTATAGAGCTAGAGGTGCTAATATACATCGGAAGCAGAATCTTTCTCAAATTCGACGTGGATCAATTGGATCGCCAAATGACCCTCTAGCTGATCCTTCAGATGATCCAAGCTATTCATTTGGTTATAAAACTAAAAGTCATTCTAGACGAGAAGAGTCAGATACTGAAGGCAAAGTGCATGGAGAGTTTATTTATGTTGATGATGCAGGCGATAAACATGGAGTTAAATATAAAGCTGGTGCACATGCTGGCTTTCAAGTTGAAAACGGAGTTCCAGATACACCATCTACAATAAATTATAATGCACCGCTTTATAGAGCAGATCCAACTGCTCGTGGCAAAATTTCATTCGAACGTGGACCAGATAGACAATATAAATTTTTAACATCAAGTCCTGATCAACGACGCTCGGAAGCAACAGGTCCTGATGGTATTACGAGAGGCAGTTATTCATATTTGGATGATAAAGGTGTGCAAAGAACAGTTCAATATATTGCTGGTGCTGGGATAGGTTATAAAGTTTTATCTTCAACTATAGGGCCGGGCTCTCACGTATCAGCCAATGCTGATGTTCCAGAATATTCAATTAAAGCTGTTTCAAATGAAATTGCAATATCGGATGAACCTAGTAATTATTATCATCATACTGGACCCTCTGCACCATCTGGACCTGGATATGTAACAAGTACAGTTCCTCCCCAGACTTACGTTACCACAACTCCTCATTCTCCAACAACCTACTCGACACCAACTTATTATCCGTCAACACCTCGACCATTTTCACGACCAAATGTTGATTCCGTTTATGTATCAACACCAAGTTCTATTGGCGATATTAATCATAATCATGCAGTGACTCCAACAGCTTCAACACCTTGTCAACAATGTCAATTTACGAGTGGTGGTCCATCTCCTCTTTCCCCTTCAGGACCTTCAGCCGTATCACACGAAGATAATGACTTGATCTACGGACTACTTCCGCCAAGAGAAGAACCATTATATACACAACAATATGTTCCACCAACTCCAACAGTTCCAACAGAGGTTCACATAACCCCTGCTCATCATCATCTATCAACACATCATCACAATCACAATATTCAACCACCATCAATCGCTCCAACACCTTTCTTTTATCCAACTCAAGGTTATTTACCCACTGATACACCTTCACCTTATTCATATATTCCAACGCAACCAACGTTATCACCAAATTATCCACCACAGCCTACTTCATCATCAATCTATCAGCCACAGCCTACACTTTCATCAAACTATCAACCTCATCCTACACTTTCATCAAACTATCAACAAATACCAATCCATCCTGCCCCAGAGCAATATAGTCCATCAACTGGAAGTGAAGCTAGTAGTGGGTGGTTTTATGGACTAGCTACAGGTGCTGGAAAACGAGCACATATTCAGAATATTGATTTAATGCATGAACGAGCGCCATCTCCTTCAGAAGCATTAAGAAGGGATGAAGAACGTGATCAATATCAAACTGTTCCGCAACACCATCAGCATCAACTAAACGAAGCGCCTCTACATTATTTACATCCACCACCACGAGTGTGATTTAGTTAATTGAAATATCTTAAAATTAATCTTGATCTTCATCATAATTAGCAAAAATTTATATCATTATTATTACTTATGTACTCAATTCGAATGAGATCGCATAATTTTTGAGGGAATTTAATTCAACATTTTCAAATTCTTTAAACTCGTAAATGTGTCGGAAATGTCAGAATGCTCTGTTCATCTTTGTCCTATTAACAAAAGCTTAGAAATGTGTTCTGGAAGTTAACAACTGTTGTCGTCGAGTTAAAAATTTGTTAAATTATTGAAGATTCTAGCTCAAAATATTGCAAACTAAGAATTTGAGCAATTTATCTGTCATGGTTTGACAGTAATAAGATTTGTGAACATAAATATTGAAAATTAGACTTAATGAATTCTTATTCTTCTGAATTGTATGTGCTCAACTCAAAATGTATTTTCTATTGTTTCTTAGTTTTAACGAAATTAAATTAATTAAAGAATTAATAAATACCAATTAGCAGTTCCAATTGAAATTTTATGAAAACACCTTTGATTTATTATTCAACATTATTCAGAGCTTTATTTTTTTTGAAAAGAAAAGAAAAAAAAATCATTTATTTTCGTCGCATGTCATTGCGTTGCTACTGAAAAGACAAAATAATTCATCTTATTAAGTACAAACTGGTACAAACGCACAAAGTCAGCTGAGATCGGAGACGGTTTGAAAAACATAAATATTCATTTGCAATTCAACTTTTACTTTCTGTCTCTTCTTCCATGACGATGAGATGTTAATCTGCCACAACGCAGCAATATAAATACAATAAGACACTCATAGTTGTCTCTCAACTTGACCTTGCTCTGTAACATGATACACATAAACTTTGCGTGTTGCTTTACATTCTATTTCAATGAATGGCTATTTTTGTTTCATTTGTGATGTTAATTTGAACAAAGAAGACGATGTACATTTTTGAATATATTAATTTTGGGGAAGTAAAGAAAAGGACCTCATGAAATTAATTCAGATCAGGTATTGGCAATGAAATAATTTTTGACGTTCAAGGAACTTCTTTATTGCAATCTCAAATAACTTTTTTTTTATCTTATGAACTATAGATGTAAAAATATATGGAACATGGAAGTAACGAATAGCAATATAAAGATGAAATTTAAATTATTAGCACTGTCAGGTGTCGTTATATCTGTTGCTTCCGTTGATTCTGTAGTAATTTCATATTCCGTTGTAGATTCTGTGACTGATGGCTTCAAATGTTCGTTTAGCCAATCATGAATTTCGTCTCGATTTTCATTCAACCAGTTTACATTATGTTCAGTCATGTTTAAGAAAATTTTCAATGAATCAATCTCGAAATTTCCGTTGTTTGTAAATTTACTTATAAAATTAGAAAATTGAGCAAATTTCGGCTTATTATTTACCATTTTTATCAGAGTGTGTAACATAAAACTCTCTTCAGATGTATCGAAATTCGTCAAATGTCTCCTTAACCATTCTTCAACAATATAAACACTGTGTTTATAGTTTTGCACAAAATTAATTAACATTAGTCGAACATCGTGGTTTGAAAATTTTGAATTCTTATACTCAGTTGATATATGTAAAAAAGATTCAAGATTTTCTGTACATGCTAGTGATTTAATTAAAATTTCGCGATTACCAGTAAAATCTAACATAACATTCCAGAGTTCTTTAAATGTTTCAATATCTGCATTCCGTATTGCATTACAGAGAACAGCAAATTGAATGTCAGGATGTATATTGTGAGGGTTTTGTATAAACTCATTAAATTTTGAATTGACATAAGCAACACAAGGTTTATATTCCATTTTGCACATCCAAAAAATTGCAATTTCTCTAATTTCCCGATCAAATGAAGATTCGCCTGATTTAGAACTTAATCCTAGTCGACTATAAATTGGCTCAACTATCTCAATAACGAATGTTCTGAATTTTTCATAAACTTCTTCATCTTGTGAAAGTTGCATATCTATATACTGAAGACCATATGAAGCTACTTTCCATGGTATTAAGTCAGACTCATATTTGAGATAAGAAAGGATCCCAAAAATATATCCATAAGGTATTTTGTTCGCAATAGCAAGATTAAAAGCATCGTCAATCAATGCAGCTCTGTTGAGAACTGGAATAACCTCAAAATACAATGAATTCAAAGTGCTCATAATCTTCATCCACATGCTAGGATCATAATTAACTCGGTAATACCCGATTTGATTGACATTTAAAATTATCCAGTTGTATGAAGGAACATTTATTGTCATTTCATCATTATCCATTAAAATTGTGTCTTCATTTACTTCACCATTTGATGTAATAAATGTTATAGGAATTGTCCATGGCTCGTTTGTGGATTCTTCATCCGTAAATATTAAAAATCTTTTTTGAACGACTGTAATACTAGTTTCATTTCTGCTAACTATTTCAATCAGTGGATATCCTGGATTATTAGCCCAAAATTTAAAAATCCCAGTAAGATTCAGTTCCTGTTCAGTTTCTTCAGCACTTAAAATATCAAAAAAGTCGTTTGCAGTTGTTGATTGAAATTTAAAGTTGTTTATAAAATTCAAAATCTTTTTTTTGAGTTCAACAGGTCCAATCACCTTCTCAAACATCCTTAATAAAGTTGAAAATTTGGCATTTGTGTATTGAATGATGTCGTCTCCTTTTCTTTCACTCATCACATTTGTCGTAATTAACGAGTCCATTTCAAGAGCCCTGTGCAAAATATTTATATTGTACACATCCATGACGCGATCTTCAGGCTTAAGCATGTCAGCAATTAAAAATTCGTAAAATCTTGCAAAACCTCCTGTTATAAATGTTTCTTGTGAGCTTGACATGCTCACAATATTTCCAAAGAATTGTTGCTGTAACAAAAAGTAAATGGATATAAAACATTTGAAGAAATAAGTGAATATTTTAAGATCATTGGATAAATTTTGTGGGAAAATTAAGCGGATTTTTTTAACAGGAGTAAGCTTAACAAAAATCTCAAGGACATTAAAGATAAAAATTGAAGTGTTAAGGATGTTGAATTGTTTGAAAAAAATAGGACATTTTGATTAAATTAGGAACAACATCTTTTTGATCTTACACCCCCCCCCCAGGTAAATTTTTCATAAAAACCATTTGTTTGTATTGTCGCAAAACAGCAGACTTAATTTGTCTACTAAAAACCTATAAAATTTATGCCTCCATATGACTATGAAATTTTGTGATAAAAACTAAAACAAATTAATTCATCAAAAACTATCGCACTTAAATTAATAAAACTACAATAATGAATCAGACTACAGCTAATCAGTTGAATAAATAATAAAAAAAATAAAAATTGTGATCACAATGAAAATTACACATAATTGGCGCACGTTTAAGCGTGTATAGTAATAATCTAGTATGACTTGCAACACATGTAATAAAATAAATTATTGTTTAACTCACCGCAAAAGTTCGGGTTATTGAGCGTAACATTTTATCCAATTGTGTGGTCGTCATTCTTGCTGACTGATAAATTAAATGATATTGATTATAAACAATTAATTCGTATGTTGAAATCTCTGTTGCGATACCAGGAATGGTGACTAATTTCAAACTAGTCAAATTGTGTGCAGATTTAAAATATGTGTTGAATAAATTGATTAAATCAAATGCTGCATCCATAGCATCTTTTAAATAGCAAGCATTGATGTATGAATCATTTCCATAAATTTCTACCTTTAGTAACTTTGCTGTTGATATAGATTTGAAATTTGATACAATTATAGCTACAGAGGCAACTGTAATTCGCTCAGTCGGAAGAAATTTTGTGGTTTTGAATTCGTTTGGAATTGCATCCGATAAATTAACTTCATTTGTATTTGATATTACATGATATGTATTATGATGTCTAACTTCTATTTCAAAGACAGCTCTCATGTTTATCTCATCAAATGAGGGACAAAAGTAGCGGGATTTCACTGTTTGAAATGAAATTGCTGCGAAATATTCTTTAGATTCATGTGATTCATAGTATCCGACAAAATCTTTTAATAAAGTTCCTGTATACTGGATCTCTAATATATAAACAGCATTCGCAAGAAAATTACTTGTAAATTTTATAGATATTTTATCATTAAATCCAATAGTATGATTTAAATTGGGCATTAAAATGGATTCCACAGCATTCAATACATTAATTTTATTTACTGTCAGATCCACAGAATTTAATTGTATTTCGTTAATCTCTTTTAAAATTTCCATATAAATTTTAACATTTGCCTCGAAATTTGAATCTCCTTCATGAATGTTAGTGCTTAAACTTATTTTGTATTTTAAAAGATTAATGGAACTTAGCACATCTTCACAATTCAAAGTTTTTCCTTTTAACACAACAATAGCCGCAATGATGAAAACAACATTTAATTTTTGGCACATGATGAATACGAATGACTTCCTGTCGAAACGAATCTTCACTGTTTTATAGAATAAGCTTATCGTGTTACTCGAAAAAAGTTATAAAGATAATATGAATTAATCAATTCATATCTCAAAAATTTATCAATAACATTTGTTTACTTTTCAATTGATTAGTATTAATCAAAAGTATTACTCAGACGTGTAGTCAGGGGAAGGTTTAAGTAATTTGTCATTTTGCTAAGGTTTTTGGGGAATGAAACCTTAAAAATTATCGTCCCAAATTTATTGCTACAAAACCGTCCATCTGAAAATTTCAGGCTACGCTTCTGTTATGTTTTTGTTGATTCACTGGTTAATTCATTCATTATTTTTAATTTCAAGAAATGAGTACAAGTAAATGGAGCAAAATAAACATGTGGGAAAGTAAATACAAAGCTTCTACTACGATTTTATTGATTGAATATTATTCAGGGTATTAATTAATTCGTTTTACTTGGGTTTTGCTATGAATTTGATTATGATATTTTAACCAAGAAATTATAACAATATGATACGCACTATATCCTTTAATTCTGAATCTATTGATCAGATCCGTTGCGTGCAGAGATTAATTTAAAATTTTCGCATGTGACTTTAAACTGAATTTTTACCCACGTAACCATAAGTCGACGAATGGAAGATTTTATGTATTACATCAAAATCTTCCATGTATGTTCCATATGTACATTCCATGTATCGTACATTGGACATTATGCTAATATGAAAAGGGACGATTTTTAGTCGATTTTACGTCGATTTCACGTCGATTATTTTTTTGAACCAAAATCAAATTTTTTTTGACCGTTACAATATAAAAACCGATTAACGGAAAAATTTTGAATTTTTTTTGTATGAAAATATTTTATGTTAATTATACTATAATTTGTAGACAAAATCCAAAAACATTAATTAAGGATTTTGTCTTTGAAAAAAAGAGTCGAAGTCTTCATTTAAATGAATGATTCGCATGCAATTAATTTAATTAATTAATCACATTTTGTATGAAAATTTGGCTGTGCCTTATATAAGTGATTTCTGATTGCACTTGTGAAGTATATAGCGGCTCAAGAAAAACGAATGTAATAGATGAAAAATCGACGTCTATTGGATCATCCAAAAAATTGTACATTTAAGTCGATTTTTTCATTGACGGCGATTTTGGTTACGTGGGTAATAATTGTCAAAATATATATTATGAAAAGTTTTAACTTATGCTTCGTTCTTAGTTCATCTTAAACAGCATCCCAGTTTGCTTAAGTCAAAAGATCTTCAAAATAACTTAATATTGCACGATTGCTATGTAATTTGCTGTAACACTTACAAGAATAATAAAAAATAATAGATTTCAAAAGTTGAAAGAAGTAATTCTACCGAAATAGAAAAGATTAAAGACACACCATATGAAGGTCAACAGAACGAGTCTCTCCAAATAAAATACTGAATTGAGTCGTTTTTCTTTCTGATCCGCTCCTTCATAAATCAGACAACCGAATTGAATTTTCATGTCTTGATGATTGCTGAAATTTTTAATTTTCATCTCACTAGATCCCTGCTGGAACTTGGAAAGAGAAATTTTATTTTAGTTCATACTTACTTGATCTTATGAATGAAATTTTCTTCGATTTCGAAAATTTTTAATTTAACTTGTTATCTGATTAATCAATAACAAATCTTTCACTGCCGTCTTGAACTGTTGTGTTTTTTGATCTCAAAGATTGATAGTACATTATTAGTTTTTTATAAAAGAAGAGAGTATTTTTGAGAAGATATTGTTATAAAGGGGACAAATGTTACCTACAAATCATTACTTTGACAACTTTTCTCCGTTTCAGATGCACACAATGATGGAATGAATTCCCTTTTCAACTCCAAACAACAAGTCTTAATATGTTCCGAGGGGAATCCGTCTTCTCCTGACGATTTGTTGTTTTGTTTTCGTTCCAGCATTTTTCTTTGTTTCCCATATAAATACCCTCGATTCTCAGCTGCATCGACAATTAATGTTGCCAATATATCTTAATATTTCCACTTTCAGGTGGCTAAACTTGGATAAAATTTGCTTGCTTGGACAAGCTTTACATAATAATAATTTTTAAGACTCATTAAACGATCAATTTTCTCAAGGCACTGTTTGTCCTACTCTCCCTTTCCTCTCTGTAATAAATCATCTACTATATTCAATCGGTCTGAATACATGCTACTCCTACATCCAATCTAAATACTTATCTTATTTTAAACTACTACTTAGCATTACGCTTCATCCTTAATTTATATTTGATTCCTGCTTTAACCTGTGAATAAAATTTTCATTTTATTTGAGACATGTTAAAAATTGGAAATTTTCTCCAAACTTGATGCCTCCTATATCTTGAGAGTTTCCGTTAACCTCGATGACTTCTTGAACTAGTGAATCAAATATCCATTAATCCTGTGTCTGCTAAAAGTTGAAAAATGAATTTTCACAACGATGTTGCGATCATCAATAAAAAATCTTAAACATCAATTCAACCAAGGTACAATATAAAACTAACGGAATTCATTAGAATCAAAGTATTCATCAACGAATTTTATACTTTTTCATCGAAAACTGTATTGAGTGGCTACATATGAGAAAAACGGAAAAAAAAAATTAAACATCATTGAGGTTTTGAAGCATTTTTAATAGGAAAATGTATCAACTCTAAGTGCCGAAAAAAAATTTGGGTGTGGCGTTTGCTCTTTTTCAATCCACCAAAATGAATTTAAAGGAATTAAAAATAATTACCTCATTTCTCGACTGAAGTCCTTGATGAATTTCAATCACACATTACGATTAAGCAACGTCTTCTCAGATCACATTTCATATCAGCCCATGGAAGTATTGACAATAGACACTCGCGTTGCTCATTTGATGACTTCACATAACAACTGGAACTTTAACGTCAACTTCTATTTTATAATATAACGTTGGTATTGGCTGTGGTTGTTTAAACAAATTGATGATTACTATTATGCCTAGAACTAGAACTGTTCACTACTTACGTTGATTTCCTGTGATTGTCTTTGAGCATTCGAACATCTTTTCTCTGTAAAGCTCGATGAGATTGTACATGCTTTTTCGTTGATTGCTTGTTTTGTGATGTTTTCGTTATCTGATTGATTCTGAAAACTATCGTGAGAGGCTATATCGTCATCAAATCCATTGAAAAGTTGCCAATGCTTCCTGCTTGATTATTGCCTCAGTTGCCTTTAATTGCTTATGTCTGAGAATTCCCTTTTCGAAAAGTGTTTTGAGTGACTACAGATGAGAAAAACGAATAAAAGGAAAATTAAAGCATTTGATTGATTTTGAAGCATTTTAGCTACAAAATTGTAATAACTCTAAGTGCCGAAAAAAAAATTTGTGCAGGACGGTGGGGCGTTTGCTCCTTTTTAATCCACCAAAATGAATTTAAAGGAATAAAAATATTTACCTCATTTCTCGGCTGAAGTCCTTGATGAATTTCAATCACACATTACGATTAAGCAACGTCTTCTCAGATCAGATTTCAGATCAGCCCATGTAAGTATTGACAATAGACACTCGCGTTGTTCATTTGATGACTTCACATAGCAACTGGAACTTTGACATCAACTTCTATTTTATAATATAACGTTGGTATTGGCTGTGGTTGTTTAAACAAATTGATGATTACTATTATGCCTAGAACTAGAACTGTTCACTACTTACGTTGATTGCCTGTGATTGTCTTTGAGCATTCGAACATCTTTTCTCTGTAAAGCTCGATGAGATTGTACATTCTTTTTCGTTGATTGCTTGTTTTGTGATGTTTTCGTTATCTGATTGATTCTGAAAACTATCGTGATAGGCTATATCGTCATCAAATCCATTGAAAAGTTGCCAATGCTTCCTGCTTGATTATTGCCTCAGTTGCCTTTAATTGCTTATGTCTGAGAATTCCCTTTTCGAAAAGTGTTTTGAGTGACTACAGATGAGAAAAACGAATAAAAGGAAAATTAAAGCATTTGATTGATTTTGAAGCATTTTAGCTACAAAATTGTAATAACTCTAAGTGCCGAAAAAAAAATTTGTGCAGGACGGTGGGGCGTTTGCTCCTTTTTAATCCACCAAAATGAATTTAAAGGAATAAAAATATTTACCTCATTTCTCGGCTGAAGTCCTTGATGAATTTCAATCACACATTACGATTAAGCAACGTCTTCTGAGATCAGATTTCAGATCAGCCCATGTACGTATTGACAATAGACACTCGCGTTGCTCATTTGATGACTTCACATAACAACTGGAACTTTGACGTCAACTTCTATTTTATAATATAACATTGGTATTGGCTGTGGTTGTTTAAACAAATTGATGATTACTATTATGCCTAGAACTAGAACTGTACACTTCTTACGTTGATTGCCTGTGATTGTCTTTGAGTATTCGAACATCTTTTCTCTGTAAAGCTCGATGAGATTGTATATCCTTTTTCGTTGATTGCTTGTTTTGTTATGTTTTCGTTATCTGATTGATTCTGAAAACTGTCGTGAGAGGCTATATCGTCATCAAATCCATTGAAAAGTTGCCGATGCTTCCTGTTTGATGATTTTCTCAGTTGCCTCTAATTGCTTATGTCTGAGAATTCAATTTGAAGCATTTCAACCAGAAAAATGTAGCTAATCTAAGTGCCGGAAAAATTTTTGGGCAGGACGGTGGGGCGTTTTCTCCATTTTAAGTCACAAAAAGGAATTTAAAGGGATAAAAAAAATTACCTGTTTTATTTTTATGTCTTTAGCCTTTGAGACAAACATTCACATCACCACTTTGCGACGTCTTCTCATCCTTTCGTATCAAACTTTAACACACAGATTCATAATCAGCACATGCAATCATTGACAATAGACTCATTGTTGCTCACTTGATGACTTCAGAAAATTTGAAATTTTGACGGTTGAATTTGGCGAATGTCAGATAATTTAATTTTTTTTTCACAACTTGATGCCAACTTCAAACTT